ACTCATGTCAATCGCACCGCTCTTGTAAGGGCCCTTCCCGTTCAAGGCCAACACAGCCAGATTGTTGTTGGTGATGGCGATTTCGACCTCACCACTGTCAATGAGCCTGGGATTCTGAACAGAACCGCCGGTCACCACGGGGACCATCGAAATGTCATCGCCCGCGTATTTGTTGACCAGGTTAGAGATACTTTGGCCCATCGGATAGAAGGCTCCACCCAGGCTCGCTGTCCCGATACGCAGTTCTTCGGCCTGCGCAAAGGTTGCCGAAAGAAGCAGTCCACAGGCAAGGCTTGCAGATTTTATCATGTCAAACATCGTGTCCTCCCGATTTTGTGATCAGAATAGACGATATTTATCTTGCTTCAACATTTTTATCGATATTTTCGCTTCAGGTCGCTATTCGATTTGCTTATTCAGCGCCATCGGGACCTCGCCGCGTCAGGTCATTCGACATTGCCGATGTATTTTGCCTGATCGATCAGTTCCTGGCATTTCTGTTCGTTGCCGGATTTACGTTCCTTGTTGGCATCTTCCAGCAAAGCGCGCATCTTTTCCGCAACCGTGATGTCTATTCCGGTACGCTTTGCATGATCGATTGCGTATTCCACCTTGCTGATGTCCTGGGCACAGGTGGCTGAGGCGCTGTGGGCGGAAAGCCCCAACACGACAAAAGAAAAAAGCAGCAGACCTTTGAAACCGGTGAGCACACGCATCTGGATTCTCCTTCGGGTTGAACAACCGCGATGCTGACAAGTGATTGTGAAAAACTCTTGTTCATGCTCCGGAAAAATCGACGGGTCTGCCGCTTTTTCCTCGTAAGCCGGGCAGCCGGTCATCGTCAGATGACCTGGCACGGCTGAAGTCATGCATATTGGGCAATACCGTTGCCGAGTGACCAGTTCTCCTTGTCGACTTCCACCAGGCTGACAAAAACATCCTCACGTCGGATTTCCGGATTGTTGCCGAGCAGGTCGGCGATACGCCGAAAGAGCGCTTTTTTCTGTTCGGAAGTTCGCGTGTTGTTCGCAGTGATCTGGATGAAGACAAGATCATCGCTTCGGGCAATATCGAGATAGGACGCGCCGTAGCGGAAATTGGCTGCTGTGTGCTCGGTGATTGTCATGAACTGGTCGTCTTCAGGCACGTTGAATTCTTCGTTCATCGCACGGTAGACGCCATCGAAAATAGCTTGCCGGTATGCTTCTGATTTTCCGGTTCTGAGTGAAACATGGACGAGTGGCATTCTGGGATCCTTTCCGAATTGTCGGTTTCACCCTAGAGAGATCGCTTACATTAAGATATACAATGAAAAACGATATCAAAAATTGAGAAACTAAATGAATGATCGCCCACTCGATCTTGATGCAGTCAGGACCTTTGTCCGAATTGCCGAGCTCGGCAGCTTCACGCGCGCCGCAGAAGCAACCAGTGCAACCCAGTCGACTGTCAGCCTGAAACTGAAACGACTGGAGGAACGCCTTGGTTGCAAGCTGATCGAGAGGACACCGAGATATGTGCACCTGTCGGCACAGGGCGCAACGTTTCTGGAGCATGCCCGCGAACTGCTGAAGAAACACGACAGCGCCCTGGCTGCCCTGACCGGGTCCCGCCAACGCCTGACAATCGGGATAAGCGATCACGTCGCAGGTCCTGAATTGCCATTGTTGATCTCCCGCATGAATGCGCAGGATCGTCATCTTCTCATCGAGATCAGGATCGGATCATCCGGCGAGTTGTTGAAATGCTATGACCGGTACGAACTCGATACGGTGATCGTACGGCTGAACGACGGGCGAAGCGACGGCAGGTTTCTTGCGGAGGAGAAGTTCGGTTGGTACGCCGCACAAGGTTGGCAGCATCGCGCCAATGAGCCGTTGCCGGTGGCAACCATGCCGGAACCCTGCGGTGTGCGTATCATTGCCGGCAAACTCCTCGATGAGGCAGGTATTGCATGGAAGGAAGTGTTCTCCGGTGGTGGTGTTACCGCAGTATCCGCTGCCGTCATGGCCGAACTGGGTGTGGCAGCCCTGGCCAGACGCATGTTGCCACTGGGAGCTGTCGAGGTCGGTTCAAAACTCGACTTGCCGGAACTGCCTTCCCTGCCGATTGTTCTTCACACCAGAGTGCGTGAGGGCAGACCGAGCGACGCCATCACCGCATTGTCTGCGGCTCTCAGGAGTGCTGTAAAGAATTGAACCAGTCCTGCGATATGATTGTGTGCTTCGGCCGTGCGACCGTCTGCTGAGCACTTTTTCTGCATCCTGTTATTGATCAAGGCAGAGGGAAACAGAGAACTGGTTGCCGACAAACCGCAGGCCCGTGAAGGATGCCCGGCCAGCTTTAAAAAAAATCCACAGGCGCTGACATTTTTTGTAGGCTCCATTGATCGCAAGTTGGACAGGAACTTGCTGCCTTGTGCAAAAATCGGGAGGGAAGTGTGATTAATGAATTCAAGGATTTCATTGCCAAGGGCAATGTCATGGATATGGCCGTCGGTATCATTATCGGAGCAGCATTCACAGCAATCGTGACATCGCTGGTAGGAGACCTGATCAATCCGATAATCGGACTGGTGTCAGGCGGCGTGGATTTTACCAATAACTACGCCGTCCTTGCCGGCGATGTTCCCGAAGGCGCTTCGCTAGAGGCCGCCCGTGAAGCCGGAGCATCGGTATTCGCCTATGGCGCTTTTATCATGGCGGTCATCAATTTCCTGATCATCGCCTGGGTGGTTTTCATGCTGGTCAAGTCCGTCAACAGGATCAAGGATGCAGCGACCCCGCCGGAAGAACCTGCGCCCGAAGAACCCAAGGGGCCAACGGCAGAAGAACTTCTTGCAGAAATCCGTGATGCCTTGAAAGCGAAAGCCTGACGCCCGGTTTTCCTCACGTGGCCAGCAGCTTGCAGAAAAGTTGCTGGCCACGATGGATACACATCGTCAGATCGCCATGACGATCCTGCCGTCGATTGTCCCGGCCTTCATGCGATCAAAAATGCTGTTGACGTCGGAAAGCGTCTCTTCCGAATAGTGTGCGCTGACCTTTCCTTCCGCGGCAAACTGCAGGGATTCAGCCAGGTCAAGACGCGTGCCAACGATCGATCCACGGATCGTTTTCCGGTTCAGTACAGTGTCGAAAATGGAGAGTGGAAAGTCCTCGGGCGGCAAGCCGACAAGGCTCATGGTGCCACCGCGTGCCAGCATCCCGACACCCTGCTCGAAAGACTTCCCTGCGACCGCCGTCACCAGGACGCCTTCTGCGCCACCACCGGCCTGCACTTCCGCAACCGGGTCGGTCTCCAGCGCGTTTATGGTCATGTCGGCTCCAAGGGACCTGGCAAGCGTGAGCTTGTCTTCAGCGATATCGACCGCGATAACATGCAGTCCCATCGCTTTTGCGTATTGCACCGCCATGTGTCCGAGCCCGCCGATGCCGGAAACAACGACGGTTTGTCCCGGACGGGTGTCCGTTTCCTTCAATCCCTTGTAGACGGTTACGCCAGCGCAAAGAACGGGTGCTGCCGGTGCAAACTCCAGCCCGTCCGGAATGTGTCCGACATAGTCCGGATCTGCCAAGACATAGTCCGCAAAACCGCCATTCACGCTGTAGCCGGTATTTTGCTGATCGGTGCAGAGTGTCTCCCAACCGCCGGTGCAATGCTTGCAGTGTCCGCAGGCGGAATGCAGCCAGGGAACACCAACACGATCACCTTCCTTGACGGATGTGACGCCCGCTCCAATTTCGGCAACATATCCCACGCCTTCATGTCCGGGAATGAAAGGAGGACTTGGTTTCACGGGCCAATCGCCGCCGGCGGCGTGTAGATCGGTGTGGCAGACGCCGGAGGCGACCATCTTGACGACGATCTTGCCGTTTGCAACCTCAGGCTTTTCAACTTCGCAAAGATCGAGCGGTGCTCCGAATTCGCGGACGACAGCGGCTTGCATTGTCGACATGAGTGTCCCCTTTGCCTGGTTCAAGACAAGGGCCAATTTCGCACGAAATGCCATCACCGTCATTGACCCAACGCAATTTTTAGGCGCAATCGGGTAATATTACATCTTCTTCCCGCGGATGGTCACATCATGCGATGATGCAGATCCATCATGATCCAGAGACTGCCGCCGACCATGATGAAAATAAGAACAGCGGCAAAACCGAGGAAGAAGAGATTTTCAGCAGGCGTCGACCTGAGGTTAAGGTGCAGAAAGAAAACGAGATGCACCACGACCTGCAGCACGGCTGCCACCGCGATGACATAGTAGACCGCAGGCCCGGTCAGCAGTTCGCCCCAGACCAGGGCGAATGGAATCGCGGTCAAAACGACCGCGAGCACGAAACCGGTAAGGTAGGTCGAAAGAGTGCGTTCGGCTGAATGATCCATGGTCCGCTCCTACATCACGCCCGGCAGGTAAACGACCGAGAAGATCCCGATCCAGACTATGTCGAGAAAGTGCCAAAACAGGCCCAGTCTGAAGAGCCGGGACCGGACCGGAATCGTCAGCCCTTTTACAAGAACCTGGCCGATCATGACGCAGATCCCGATGACCCCGAACGCCACATGAAGGCCATGTGTCCCGACAAGCGTGAAGAATGCCGACAGGAAACCGCTCGTCTCCGGTCCCGCGCCCTGTCCGATCATGCCACTGAACTCGATCATCTCCATTGCCAGAAAACCAAGACCGAGCGCCAGCGTTACGAAGAGCCATTGCACCACCCGGCCAGACTGTCCCAGCGACATGGCAATCGTCGCAAGGCCGAAGGTCAGGCTTGAAAACAGCAACAACGCGGTCTCGCCGGCAGTATGACTGAGATCGAACACGTCCTTTGAGGTTGGCCCTGCGGCGGAGTTCTTGGAAAGCACGACATAGGAAGCAAACAGAAGCGCAAAGATAATCGCATCGGTCATCAGATAGACCCAGAACCCGAATTCTCGCGATTCCAGTGATTTTCTTTCCTCGTGCTCGAGGAGGTCTTCGTTCATGGTCGTTTCTGACATTACGCCCTCCCCGCCAATGGTGTGCCGGAGGCAGCCCCGCGCGGTTCGAAATCCCGCATGTCGTGCATGTCCACTGGAGCTATCTGGGCAAGGTGCGCCGCCTCGATCCTGGCTACTTCGGCTGCTGGCATCACGAAATCCGTATCATCGTCACAGGCCCTTATGCCGATGCAAATCAGTATGAGAACGAGTGAAAGCGCCACCAGCCACCAAATGTACCATACGAAGGCAAATCCGAGCACGAACGCCATGGCACCGATTACCGGTCCCAGGCCGCTCTTCCTTGGCATGACGATATCTTCGTAATGCGCAGGTGGACGGTATGCGGTTCCGTGAATTTTCATGTCATGAAAGGCATCGACATCCCGGACCTCGGGAAGAACTGCGAAATTATACGGAGCCGGCGGCGAAGACGTCGCCCAGTCCAGTGTGCGGCCGTTCCATGGGTCTCCGGTCACGTCACGTGCGGAGCCCCAGTTTTTGGCCGAAACATAGAGCTGGACGCCAATGCAGATGATGCCGCAAAGGATACAGAGCGCGCCCAGCGCGGCAACGATCAGATAAGGCTGCCAGTTTGGATCCGCATAGTGCTCCATGCGCCGGCTCATTCCCATGAAGCCAAGAACATAAAGCGGCATGAAAGCGAGATAAAAACCGATGAACCAGAACCAGAACGATCGAATACCCCACTTGGCATCCAGCTTGAACCCGAAAGCCTTGGGAAACCAGTAGTTCAATCCGGCAAAATAGCCGAAAAGCGCTCCTGGAATCAGCATGTTGTGAAAATGGGCAACCAGGAACGTTGAGTTGTGCATCAGGTAGTCGGCCGGAGGCAAGGCAAGCAATACGCCCGTGACCCCTCCGATGACAAACGTCACCATGAAGCCGATGGTGTAGACCATGGACGGGTGAAACTCGATCCGCCCGCGGTACATGGTGAACATCCAGTCGAAGATCTTCACCCCGGTCGGCACGGCTATGATCATCGTCGCGATACCAAACACGGCATTCACGTTTGCCGATGATCCCATGGTGAAGAAATGGTGCAGCCAGACGGTGAAGGAAAGGATTGCTATGCACGCTGTCGCGTAAACCAGCGACTTGTAGCCGAACAGGCGTTTGCGCGAAAATGTTGCCACCACTTCTGAAAAGATCCCGAAGGCCGGAAGGATCAGGATATAGACCTCCGGGTGTCCCCAGATCCAGATCAGATTGGCAAACAGCATCATGTTGCCGCCATCGCCGTTTGTGAAGAAATGGAAGCCGAGTGTGCGGTCCAGCGTGAGTTGCGCCGCGACGACGGTCAACGCCGGAAAGGCAAACGCGATCAGGACCGAAATGCACAGCGCCGTCCATGTGAACAGCGGCATACGCATGTAGGTCATCCCCGGGCACCGGTTCTTGACGATGGTGACAATGAAATTGATACCGGACGCCGTACTGCCGACGCCGCTCACAATCAAGGCCCAAAGCCAGTAGTCGACACCGACACCGGGGCTGAACTCGACGCCGGAGTAAGGGGGATAACCTGTCCAGCCGGCCGTGGAGAACTTGCCGACGACCAGCGACACAAGGACCAGACCCGCCCCGGCGGCTGTCAGCCAGAGACTGACGGAGTTCAGGAAGGGAAAAGCAACGTCTCGCGCACCGATCTGTTGCGGCACGATGATATTGATCAGACCGGTCAGGAAGGGCATTGCAACGAAAAAGATCATGATCGTGCCATGCGAGGAAAAGATCTGCTCGAAATGTTCGGGCGGCAGATAGCCTTCGCTGTTGAGCGCAATCGCCTGCTGGGCGCGCATCATCAGGGCATCGACAAATCCGCGGACGAGCATCACAAGCGCCAGCACGACATACATGATGCCGATCTTCTTGTGGTCGACGCTCGTCAGCCAATCCGTCCAGAGCACTTTCCATGCACGCAGATAGGTAATCAGCAGAAAAACCGCGAGCCCGCCGCAAACAGTAACCGCAGCACCGCCCATGGCGACCCAGGAATAAAGCGGAATGGCTTCGATTGTCAGGCGTCCCAGCATCACGCAGCCCCCCTGCAGATAAGTTCGGCCGCCTTGCTTTCATATGGACCGACGATCGGTGAATACTTGCGCAGGATCAGATTGAAGAGATCTGTCTCGTAAGCGGAATAGTAGGTCACGGGATTGGCAGTGCTCTGTTTGTGAAGCTGCAGATAGGTTTCTGCGTCTAGCTTCGCTGTTTCTTCGGCGACCTTGTCCTTCCAGCTGGAAAATCCGTCTCCGCTCAAGGCGTGCGCCTTGAAATGTTGATCGGCAAAGCCGTCGCCTGAGTACATTGTATTTCGCCCCATGAAGACGCCGGGTTCGTCAGCGAGAAGGTTGAGTTCGGAGCGCATGCCCGCCATCGCGTAAATCTGCCCGCCAAGCGCCGGGATCATGAGGGAATTCATGACAGTGTCGGAAGTGATCTCAATCGAGAGCGGACGATCTGCCGGAAAGGCGAGTTCGTTGACGCTGGCCACACCGAGCTCGGGGTAAAGAAACAGCCATTTCCAGTCGAGGGCGACAGCCTGCACCCTGAAGACCGGTTTGTCGGACACGAGTTCCTTGTATGGATCAAGCCTGTGCGTCGACTGCCAGACCAACGCTCCAAGAACAACAATGATTGCCGCGGGAACCAGCCAGACAACCGATTCGATTTTCCAGGAACTGTCCCAATCGGGCGTATACGCTCCCTTGCCGCCGTCTCTGCGATAACGCCAGACGAAATAGAGTGTCAGGACAATGGCGGGAATGGCGACAATCATCATTACTGCAAAAGCGGTGAACAGCAGATTTCGCTCCGCAAGCGCAACCGGCCCCTTCGGAAAGAGTATCGGTGCGTCCGAAACGCCGCATCCCTGCAGGAGAAGGCAGACGCCCAGAAGACCCGCCATCCAGAAATGATTGGAATTTTTGAGGATCGAGCGCGGTATGGTCACTTCAGTAAATGCTCCCCCGAGACGGGACCGCGTGTCCCGTTTGCGATTAATTCAATGTCGAAAACAGTCTGAAGCAGCCTACTTTCTGCTCAACGCACTGAGCCGATGTCAAAACGATGAACCTGATTGCAACGGAGCCTAGCCGAGCAAGCCTGGGTTTAAAAGAGGACCGACGAGCGAAATCACCCCGCGTGAGAGATCTACCCACAAAATCGAAACTCTCTCTGGAAAACTGAGATCCGGGCAATTGCATCTATATCGTTTTGCGACGCGGGAAACGTATGCGAATCGCAGTCGGCGGCACGACGACTCAATGAAGTTAAACCGAACGGTGCGGCACCATGCCCGGCGTCCAAACGCCTGCTTGCAGGTCTTGTCTGTCATCTGACGGAAACTCTGCACGAGACCTTCATCGTGGACTTGCCAATTGATCACGGAATGTGTCTGTTCGATCTCAACTGCCGCGAGACGGCCGCCAAGTCATCTGGATGCATTCATGAGCAATCGCCCGAACATTCTTCTCATTACGGCAGACCAGTGGCGAGGAGACTGCCTTGGAACAGTCGGACATCCGGTCGTAAGGACTCCAAACCTTGATGCATTCGCTGAAAATGCAACGGTGTTTGAACAGCATTATGCGGCCACTGCCCCCTGTTCTCCGTCAAGAGCATCGCTCTACACCGGTCTGTACCAGATGAACCACCGGGTCGTACGCAACGGTGCGCCACTGGATGACAGGTTCGACAACATAGCCAGAGCCGCTCGAAGAGCGGGATATACGCCAACTCTGTTCGGTTATACCGACACTTCACCTGACCCCAGGCAACACGATCCGAATGATCCTGCCCTAAAAACCTATGAAGGTGTTCTGCCCGGGTTTGCCGTCCGCCAGAGCCTGCACGAAGACGACAAACCCTGGCTCTCCTGGTTGACAACTCGTGGTTATGATCCGGCTGAATTCGACAAGATCCATCAGGTCGAGCAGGAAGAAGACGAGCGTGTTTCCCTGGCTCCGCCCCGCTATTCCCACGATGAGACTCAAACCGCATTCCTGACGAATACATTCCTGACATGGCTCGAAGAACAGAAAGGAGAAGATAGGCCCTGGATGGCGCACGTCTCCTTTCTCCGGCCGCATCCGCCGATCGCTGTTCCAGCGCCCTACAACACCATGTACGATCCTGAGGAAGGCCCTGACTTTGCCGGAGCCGAAAGTGCGGAAAAGGAAGCCTCGGCACATCCTGTCATTGCCGCCTTGCAGGACGTTCAGCGGCTAGCGAGCCACATTCCCGGGGCTTCGGGTCTGGTACGGGATCTTGCCAGGCGGGATCTCGCCCGGATCAGAGCGCTCTACTACGGGATGATCACCGAAGTGGATGCTCAACTGGGGCGGATTTTTTCAGTCCTGGACTCGCTCGAGAACACGATGATCATCTTCACGTCGGATCATGCTGAAATGATGGGTGACCACTGGATGCTCGGCAAGGGTGGCTATTACAAGGAAAGCTATCACATCCCGCTGGTCATCCGCGCACCTTATGCAACCAAAGGAAATCGGGTTACCTCATTCACATCTTCAACAGACGTTTTTCCCACTCTTCTTGACGTCCTGGAAATCGACCCGGAACACGCTCCTGACGGGAGAAGCCTGGCCCCATTCCTGGTTGGTACGACACCAACTTTCTGGCGCGATGCCGCGTTGTGGGAGTTCGATTGCCGCGAGCTGATGAAACGGTGCCCCCACCATTTCCCTGACACCTCCAGCCATACCCCGCCCGCGCTTCTGGTGCGAATGGGAGCGGACTGGCAGTATGTCCATGTGACAGGCCTGCCGGGCATTCTCCTGAAGGACGCCGGTGTGACCGACATTGAAGATTACTCAGATCAATGCCAGGACATAGTCTGTGCCAACATAGAGGCGCTTTTGACCACGCGCCTCAGGCATAATGACGAAACACTCGCAAGGACGCTGGTCTGGGACTACTATGGCCAGTAGAAGGCTTCGCGCTGGATTTTGGTCTTTTTGAACTGCGCAGCCAAAACGTGGCGTGTTTAACAGGACCGGAACCAGAAGTAATGAGTCGAATTGTAATCCGCAGCCAACCGGTCATTTCAGCGCTTCATAAGCTGGTTCGGCTCGCAGTCATATGCCTCGTGGCGGCATTCGCAATCCAGAACTCTTCTGCCGAAGACGCGGAACTCACGGTCATCGACAGCACCGACTATCCCTGGCATTCCATCGGCCGTGTCAATCGAGCGGGATATCGGTCGGTGTCGAGCTGTACGGGCACATTGATCGCTCCCAACAAGGTTCTCACCGCCGCGCACTGCATTGTTTCCAGCAAGACCCAGGAAAAGTTGCCTGCCGACGAAGTCCTCTTCATCGCCGGGGTCCGCCGGGACAAATATGCTGCCAGGCTGGAAGCCGAATGCCTGCTGACAATCGACGGCTACGTCGCCCGCAGCCGTCCGAAAGTGGATGAAATTCGCAAGGATCTTGCCCTGATCATATTGAAGGAACCCAGTACACTTTTCCCCTTGCCGCCTTTGACGCCGCAAGAATCGAGGCGCCTGCGCAAAACGACAAGATTCCTGTCCGTCGGATATCGTCGCAGCCGCCCCTACCTGCCGACCGTCGTCCCGTCCTGCTCGGTTCTCGGTAGCCAGGAAGATGTCTGGGTAACCGATTGCAACACCGAGAGCGGCGCATCGGGTGGACCACTCATGGTCAACACGATTTTCGGGCCACGGGTCGCCGCGGTCATGGCTGCCAAAATAAACGATGAACGCTCCATAGTGGTGCCTTTTACGCAATGGCAGGACCTGCTCCAGAACGCGTCCTGTGACGGGGCCGAAGAGACCGCGCCACCGGCAGCAGCACAAGAAACGCAAGAGCCGACAAACTGAGGTCGCGGAAAAAAGTCACTGCCCCTTCTTGCAAATCCCGTTATGGTGGTCACCCAGAAACCAAGAGGCTGTGCGTTTCAAAATGGCGCAGCCGGTTGCGGAGACGCTGTCCGCCCAAAAGACCGTTGGACTATGAATCAATCTCCCCTTCCCCTGAAATCAAATGTATTTCGCCCTGGTTCGACGGAAAAACTGGCATTTGTTGCCAGCGATACCGAGGAGGCGCAACGCGCGGTCGAAGACCTGTCAAATCGCTACGGCAATGTTGACGCCGACGAGGCTGATGTCATTGTGGCGCTTGGTGGAGATGGCCTGATGCTTCAGACGCTTCATGCACATATGGGCAGAGGCAAGCCGATCTATGGCATGAACCGGGGATCGGTCGGCTTCCTCATGAACGAATACCATGAACACGATTTGCGCGACCGGCTTGCAAATGCCGATGTCACGACAATACGCCCGCTGGAACTGACTGCCATAGACGAGACCGGGAAGACACATACGGCACTTGCGATCAACGAGGTCTCGCTGCTTCGACAAACCTCACAAGCCGCGCGTCTGAAAATTTCAGTCGATGACAAGGTTCGCCTCGAGGAACTGGTCTGCGACGGCATCATTGTCGCGACACCGGCCGGCAGCACAGCCTACAATTTGTCGGCACATGGCCCGATCCTCCCGATCACTGCGCAACTGCTTGCGTTGACACCGATCAGTGCCTTCCGTCCCAGACGCTGGCGCGGCGCCCTGCTGCCAAACTGGGCGAAGGTGGACATCGAAATCCTGGAAGCACACAAGCGCCCGGTCAGCGCGTCGGCGGACCACACCGAAATTCGGCATGTCACACATGTCACTGTCAGGGAATCGTCCAAGGCGCAGGGGGAGATCATGTTCGATTCCGATCATGGCTGGGACGAACGCATTTTGACGGAAATGTTCCGTTACTGACGGGAATTCTCCCGAAAATTGATCATGGCAAGAGCCTGTTAAGTGAGTTCTCCGATACTGTGCACTGGAATTCTCTTCATATCCGCGACGGAGACAGAAGCTGCCATGGCCGAAACTGCCCAGGACCAGAATTACGAAATCTTGACGCCACCGGATGACTTGCGCAGAAAGGTTCGTGAACTGACGCCAAGGGAAGCGAAGAAATTTGATCCGATAAAGGCAGCAGAAGCAGCACTGAACCGTCTGTCCGGTCATTTCGGCAGCTGGATGATCAATGAGACGGTCACCTTGTTGCGTGCCTGGGAAACCGCACAGACCGAGGGCATGACCGAGGAAACTGTCGCCCCGTTGTTCCAGGCCGCACACAATATCAAGGGCCAGGCGCTAACCTTGGGATTCCCATTGGTTGGCCGGGTTGCTGCCAGTTTTTGCCATCTGATAGAAACCGTGCCGTCTCCGGAGAAACTTCCACTACAGCTAACCGAACGTTACGTCGAAGCTATCCGGGCAATGGTCATGGAAGGCGCAAAAGATGACGACAACAGGACCGGCGTGGAATTGCTTGAAACGCTTGATATCGTGACCACTGACTTCCTGAAACAGTTTTCACCGGACACCGGGGGGAACGAGTAGTCCGTTCAATTGGTTTCTTCCGATTGCAGCTTTTGTTCGCGAAAGACAATGTAGCACCCGCTCAATATGATGATGCCGGCGCCGACATAGGTAAGCATGTCCGGTATTTCATCCCAGATGATCCATCCAAGCAAAGTGGCCCAGATCAACGCGCTATATTCGAACGGCGCAACCGTGGCAGCCGACGCGAACCGAAACGCCTGCGTGATCAAGGTGATGCCGGCTGTCCCGAAAATTGCAATTCCGATGAACATCCAGATATCCCCGGATTGAATTTCAACCCAGGCAAAGGGCACGGCAAGTGCGCTCAACAATGCGCCTGCACCGACGAGATAGAGCATCAGTGTCCAGACGCTCTCACGTGGGTCGACCCACCTGGCGCTGATCATCAGGACTGCATACAAGAAAGCCGTGGCGATCGGCAGAAGCGATTCATTTTGAAACGTACCCGCGCCGGGTCTGACAATGACCAGCACACCGGCAAATCCTGCAAGTACCGCAAGCCAACGGCGCCAGCCGACCGTTTCTTTCAAAAACAGAGCTGAAATGGCGGTTATGAAAACTGGAGCCACGAAGACAAGTGCAGTTGCCTCCGCAATTTCAAGGTGTTTCAACCCCGTGAAGAACAGCACCGCTGCTAGCAGCCAAAAGATGCCGCGCAGCAGATGGGCCGCCGGTCTGTAGGAGCGCAACGCGCCCGGTCCGCCCATCGACAGGGCAATCACGATCGCGAACGGCAACGCAATGAGATTGCGTATGAACAGGATCTGTATCGGCGAATATCCGGCGGTCAGAGCCTTGGCAATTGCATCACTGACACTGAGGCTAGCAATGCCCACACTCATGAGCACAATTCCGATGGTTGCCTGCGCGCGTGCGTCGAGCGTTGTGGAGGGCATGGAGCCACCTCGTTCACTTCAAACGCTCACATAATCACCGGTGAAATTGCACGGCAAGGTCGAATCGCCAGCGAGCTGTTCGGGACGCGCTGGCATGAAACCAGCCCGGCAAACACATGATATTTTGAGGATAAGGACGAACGACTATGCAGCTCTTGTAACCTGCAACGACCCATTCTTCACCATCAGACGTGCTTCCAGCCTGGCGACTTCAATGGCAAAGCGGCGCAGGAAGGCAGCAACGTCCTCATCTGCTCCAAGCGCACCGTCCTGCATTTCTTCCAGCAGTGTTTCCGTCAACATTCTGGCCTCGTCCAAGGCAAGGTCATAGGTGAAGTCGGCATGCGCCTGACGGGCAATATCGATCGATAGCAGGAATGCCTGATGCGCCCGAATCGGAAGACCGGCCTTGCGGAGAATCGCCTGAAGGGCCGACCGGCGAACCGTGACCAGAAGCTTGCAAAGCCTTGGAAGCGGCACCTGGCCGAGATTGGCCAGCGCTGCCGCAAAGAACCGTAAACGGCCACAACACACAGCGCGCAACAAAAGCCGGGTGTTCAGCTTGCCGCGCGAACGCAGGTGTTCGACGAAATCCGGAAGCTCGTCTTCACTCGCCTCAAGCGCCAACCGCAAGACCACCTTGTCTTCAGCGTCACTCAGGAAAGTGTGTCTTTGATGTTCGGGCACCCGCTCCAGCACGATCGGATGATCGTCCAGGTTTGCCGCCAGGCGCATCAACAGCTCATAGCGATTGGCAAGAGGCAGGTCCCTGGTTTTCAGCAACTGGTCGCAGATTTCCGGTCGGTCCTCAAATCTCTGAGCAAGCCTCAGGAGAGAGGATTGGAGTATCTGCGCGCTGGAATTGTTCAACAAAGCCTGGCAGGCGTCTTCGCTGCCCACTTCACAAAGCGCTGCACTGATCGCTGCCGATAGGCCGTGGCGTTCTGCAATGGCACATTGAACCGCTTCACTGCCGCCCGCCAGCAAATCGACCAGCTCGGCATCAGAAAGCAGCGGCGATGACTTGAGTATGATCACCGAAACTTCATCGATGTCACTGGCAAGGCAGCGCACGACAAGTCCGGGGGCAAGTGGGCTGGTTGCCAAAACCCTTGCTATCGCCTTGCGAACGCCCCGGCTCGGGTCGTCCAGGAGAACTGTCAGTGCCGTTGCCATCTCTGCCTGTTCCTGACTGTCGTCCTCGGCGGCAAGATATCGTTCCGCGAATTCCCGCGCGGCGAGAATGTCCTGAATACGATCGTCATCTTTGTTCAAATGCAAAAGGTCATATTTGGTCATGGCGGCAATCGGTCTTTTCTAGGGTCAGCTTGTATCCTGACACCAAAGACTTAACGATCTGTTCACCATAATTTTGCCAATACCTGAAAAAGTCGAACGGTCAGGCAGGTGGCAATAAATCCTTTTGCTCCTCTTCTGCTTTCAGTCTGAGAAATCTGGTCAGATCCAGCGGACCTCCCTGGTCTGCGAGCGCCAGTTCCTGTGCTGCGACCTGGTTGGAAGCCCCGGACAGGGCGCTGAACATCGCCGCTTCTTCAACAGCCGCAAATGCGGACGCAAAGCGGGGATTCACGCCTGCCTGGGAAGATCCCTGATCGTTTCTGAACAGGGCTTCAAACGGATTGGCCGTTTCTGCGGCCTGGAAAGCGGACAGCACGCGCGAGGTTGGCGCGCTTTCATCGCCTCCGTTGATTGAGGCCTGGCGTGGATCTTGTGGCGCCGGTTTTTCAGCGGAACTGGCAAGTGTTTCGGAGTTTGCACTGCCCGCCATTTGCGATTGGCGTGCACTGCCCTGTGGTAATGGAACTGATGATTCGGCCAGATTGACCGGATTTCCCGTCGCGAGTTCTGCAGCAGCAGTCACCTGTCCCGGTGCCGGAGGCTTCGCGCGCATCGCGAATGCTGCGGCTGGATCACCGGCCAGATGATCAAAATTCTGATTATCAATCCCGGGCATCGCGTTTACCGGCTTTGCAGTCGGAAGAGCGGCCACGTTTGTCAGCGCGCCTGACGTCCGCAGGTTCGTCTTGCCGCTCGCTTCGGCAATCATGGTCACGGCGTCATGTTTCGATACGATGACCTCATAAACTTCCTGCATTGAACGGGCTTTGCCGTTGCCGTGAAAGAAGATTGGCTTGTTGGCCCGGGCTTGCGCAGAAAACATCTTGTCTGCACGCATATCCGGACTGGCATTGGTCGCATCAATCAATCGGCTGGCCCCGTTGGCGCCAAGAAAATGGGCCATGTAAAGCTCACCATCGGTTGGTTCCCTGCCGATCTTCTGCTCCAGATAGTTGGCATTTTTCTGTGTGAGGGCACCGGCCATCATGGACGAGATCCCCGGATCCTTGCGCAGGTCGAGTATCTCTAGTCGAGCCTGCGGATCCTTGACGAAATATTTGCCATTCTTGGAACGTTGAATTTGGTCGGAGTATTTTTCCAGGCCGTGCCTGGGACCAGCCTCTTTCATCGTCTCCAGCCAGGTCGACTCGATGAACTGGAACAAACCGGTTGCGCTCGACGTCTTTGCCTTCGCAGACGGGTTGAACGACGACTCGCGTGCAGCGGTCTTCACCAGGTAGTCGAACGACGTTCCTGTTGAATTACTCGCAGATTGAAACGCAAGCTCGATCCGAGACGCGACCGAGGGTGTGTCAGCGACATGCATGACCCTGTCTCCTCGACGGAACAAATTATTACTTCGTTAACTTTCGCGTCCAAATGGTTAACAAATACTTAACGACGCCCTGTCCCGGTGCCTTTACGGGGTTTGGATGCTGTTTTTCTTCCGGCACACGGCAGATCTCACGATACGTTCTGCCGAAAAAGTGGAAATCGCCTGTTTTTCTCACAAAACCTTGGGGAATCGAAAGAAACGCGCATCCATGCCTTTGAAACAGAAATGCGCAAACTTGTGAGTCGGTTGCCCATGGCAGCGCTCGCAAGGCATTGCCCGTTGACCAGTGATTGGAGGCCTCAAATCGTCGGACGAGACATTTCGAACACTTCCGTTATGGCAGCGTACTCCATGTATCCAAGACGGGAGAGCGGTTTGTAGCGAGTGACGTCGACCTTGCCGTTCACAATGATGCTGTCGTCGATATGTATCCCGACCACCTGCCCGAAAACGATCCAGTTGTCCGTCTCTGCTCCCTCAAGATCTGTCAATTTGATCGTCTGGAGATGCTTGCATTCAAGTGCCGTCACTGCCCTGGCGACACGTGGTGTCCTGACCAGCCGGGAGGCTGCCATATCCAATCCCGACAACTCAAACTCACTGGTCTCGCTTGGCACCGCCGCTGACGAAACATTCATTTCGTCTTTCAGGTCCCAACTGGCCATGTTGCAGACGAATTCGCCGGTCGCCTCAACATTTGCCGCACTGTCCTTGTAGCCGGATGACGAAAACATGACGATCGGAGGACGATCACCTACCGCGTTAAAGAAACTGTAGGGAGCAAGATTTGTGCGCCCTTCGGCATCGAGTGATGAGATCCACCCGATCGGCCGCGGAGAGACGATCGCCTTGAAGGGATTGTGAGGCAGTCCGTGATTATTGCTTGAAGTTTCGTAAAACATGTCAGTCGGTGTTTCTCCATTCACGGACCAGATCAGAAAGATCGGGGCGTGGTCTTTCAACCGGTGGCTGGCTGGGCGTTCCTATGTGGATGAAACCGGAAAACTTTTCGCTCCCCGCAACTCCCAGAAACGATGCGGCTTCCTGATCGAAGCTGTACCACTCCGTGAGCCACTGCGACACGAATCCAGCCGCGGATGCCGCAGTCACCAGGTTCATGCAGACCGCCCCGGCAGAGAGTTGCTGTTCCCAGACAGGAATTTTCGGGTGCGCTGCAGCGGTGCTGACAACGCCGACAACAACCGGCGCACGCATGAAGCGGGTCGATTCCTTCTGCCGTTGTTCGTCGTCGAGCGGGCCGTTCCTTCTTTCGCAGATTTCAGCAAGTCGGTCGCCGATCACACGCGCTTGTTCCGGCCGATATACAATGAAGCGCCAGGGGGTCAGTTTGCCGTGATCCGGCACTCGGGCCGCGATTGTCAGCATGTCGGTTAGCTCATCTTCATTCGGCCCTGGTTCCGACATCGTCACGGACGGGTGAGAGCGTCGCTTCCGAAGAAATTTCAGCGTTTCGGGGGAACCGTGGCTGAACGTGGACATGACGTTTTTCTCTTCGAACAGTTGCAATTGTGACAATCCACCTAATTCATTGACCGGAATTGTCAACTTTAGTTTCGATGTCTTGAATTCGCCCGATTTTCAAGTCCTTTAGGAGCACTGGAAAAGCTGGCTTTGCCAGGGTCCCGCATGTTTGCCGGGCACTGGCCATCACTCGGCAATGGTCCAAAGGGGGCTAATTGACCTGTCGCATTGTGCAGTCAATCGATTGGGTTTAAACCGGTGTACCGTGGCAACACGAATTGGTATAAAAGACAAAAGACTGTAACTTTTAGCAGTTGATAAGATAACGAAGTGGGCATGTTGGATTTAGGATCAGTTTCAATCGGCGCGGCGACATTGCGTTTTTTGAAAAACGCGACCTGTGCGCTCCTGATAGCTGTCCCGGCAATCGTGATTGAGAGCGCCCCCTTGTCCGCTCAGGCAGTTGAAGCACCAATGCCACCGGGCCCGAAACCCGATCCGAATGCGCCGTCTGTCCCCCGTGAAGATCAGATCATCAACCTGCTGGACCGCGAACCCGAACCGCTGTTTTCGGATGCCAAGTTGCCACTTGTGCCGACCCATTCCACGATGACCGGCTTCAGTGACGGGCTGGATCAGGGTGCTCTTTACCTGATGGCAAAACTGACACAGGACAGCCCGCCTCTTGATGACGGTCTGGTCTGGAGGATCTATTCCGAAACCACCAATGCCAACGGCCGCCTTGAACTGGTGGCGACGGCGAATGGTGGCGATGCCGAATTCCGGCTCGATCCCGGTGCTTATCTTGTCCACACCGCCTTTGGATACGCACAGTCAACAAATCGCGTTGTCATCGGCAAGGAAGTACAGTCGAAGATGCTGACGCTGAATGCCGGAGGGATCAAATTCGGTGCTGCCATGAAGGACGGAAATGGCATCGATCAGCAGCAGGTCACGTTCGACGTTTACGGGATGACGTTCGATGAGCGTGGTGAACGCAACAAGATCGTCGGCGATGTCAAACCTGGGTCCATCCTCCGCCTGAGTGCGGATACCTATCATGTCGTAAGCCGCTACGGCGACGTGAACGCGGTCATCCGTGCAGACATCCAGGTCCTGCCGGGCAAGCTGACCGAAGCGACAATTCTGCACAAGGCAGCCGATATTACCCTCAAGCTCGTGAATGAACGTGGCGGCGAAGCAATCGCCAACACCACATGGTCCGTTCTGAGTGCTGGAGGTCATGTTGTCGTGGAAGCCACAGGCGCATTTCCCGATTTTGTTCTGGCCTCAGGTGAATATGAGGCTCTGGCAAGGAACAACGGCCGCACCTACCAGCACACCTTCGAAGTTGTGCCCGGCGAAGACCGGGAGGTCGAAGTCGTCACGTCGGTTAGCGAACTCGCTGCCCAGGAAGCAGTCGTAAACAACTGACCAATCGACTGATTTTCAGTCACAGAAACTTCGGAACGCCCGGGTGTTCAGGCACTTTTTCATAGGCGGCGCCCGAGAAGGCGTTTTGCGGTTCGCGACGGCGCCATTTCCATGACCTTGGTCTGCAGGAAATCCATGATTTCCTTCTGGTCCTTGAATCCGCCGAGTGTCTCGAACGGAATTGCTTCCCCCGCCCGCGCCGTCATTACGGATCCGAGAATGCGCCTGAATTCACGCACGAGCAGCGCCAGGCGAAGCGTCAGCGAATACCTGCTGACCAAGTGAAACAGCCATGAATTCTGGCCGTCAAAGTAGAGCGGCAACACGGTCGCCCTGGAAGACCGTATCATCTTTGCCGTGAACGTCTTCCAGGGCAATTCTTCTGCGCGCCCGAAGGGCTTTGCGGCAGTTGCAACACCCCCGCCCGGGAAAACGATAATGGTCGTGCCTTCTTCAAGCAGCCGCAATGCCTCTTTCCGGGTCTGCATGTTTGTCTTGAGGGCCTGTTTGGTCTCCTCGAAATCAACCGGCAGAGAAAAGGGGCGGACTTCCGGAACCTTGAGCAATTCGTTGTTGATCAGGATCTTGAACGGACGGTCAAGCTGTTCGGCCAGTGACAGAATGGCCAGTCCATCACCAATTCCATAGGGATGATTTGCAATCAGGACAAGCGGTCCATCCGGAAGGTTTCTTGGCGGCCATTCGCCGTTTTCGACAGAAACGTTCAGATTGATCAGACCGAGCAGGTCACTCCAGATGTAGTCCGAAGTGCCAACCATTGTGTGCTTCCACACTTCGTAGACGTCGAGGAGCTTGCCGCGGCCGGACAAGCCCTCGATTGCCCTGATCGTCCACCTCTTCAGTGGTGGATGTTCCGAATTGGCGTAGCTGAATTCTGTGTAATCCACGGCGGCCGTCATCTCTGAATTAACGTTCGATCCGGTAAGTCTGGAACCTGATACCAGAAGAATTGCTAAGCTGGTGTGACAGCACACTGCCCCAGAGGAAGGGCAGTGTACATAATGTCGGATTTCCCAAAGATCGGGTCGTTCAAGTTTATTTCAAGTCCGGCGGTGTCGCTTCCTCGACAAATGCTGCAACAGCCTCATCCAGACCCATGGACCTCTGGTCTTTCGACCCGAGGCGGCGGACATTGACGGTTCGTTCTTCCGCTTCCCGCATACCACACACGATAATCACGGGAACCTTGGCAAGCGAGTGTTCGCGAACCTTGTAGTTGATCTTCTCGTTGCGGAAGTCGGTCTCCACCTTCAATCCGCTGGCTTTCAGAAGATCTGCGACTTCCTGACCGTAGGTGTCAGCTTCCGAAGTAATGGTGGCAACAACAATCTGCAACGGAGCGAACCAGAGCGGGAAATGTCCTGCATAGTTCTCGATCAGAATGCCGAGGAACCGTTCCATTGACCCGCAGATTGCGCGGTGGACCATCACAGGCGTTTTTTTCTCGCCGTTATTGTCGACGTAAAACGCACCGAAACGCTCCGGCAACGCAAAGTCGACCTGCGTCGTTCCGCATTGCCATTCTCGACCGATGGCATCGCGCAGCGTGTACTCGAACTTGGGACCGTAAAACGCCCCCTCGCCCGGCAGGACGTCGGTTTTCACCCGACCTTCGGACTGAGCCTCGATCTGTTCCAGAACGTCAGCCATGACGGCTTCGGCGTGATCCCACATTTCGTCGGTGCCGACGCGTTTCTCTGGCCTGGTCGAGAGTTTGACCACGATTTCGTCGAAACCGAAATCCTTGTATACCGACAGGATCAGGTCGTTGATCTTCAGGCACTCGTCCGCCAACTGCTCTTCGGTACAAAAGACATGTGCATCGTCCTGGGTAAAGCCGCGCACACGCATCAGGCCATGAAGAGCACCCGACGGCTCATACCGGTGAACCACGCCGAATTCGGCCAGACGCATCGGCAGGTCACGATAGCTCTTCAGGCCATGCTTGAAGATTTGCACATGTCCGGGGCAATTCATCGGCTTCAGGGCATAGACGCGGTCGTCCTCGGAATCCGGATCGGCGCATTGCACGGAGAACATGTTCTCCTTGTACCAGGTCCAGTGACCGGAAGTTTCCCAGAGCGAGGTATGCAACACCTGCGGCGCATTCACTTCCTTGTAGTCTTCCTTCAAGATGCGACGCTTGTAGGCGATAAGGTTCTGGAACATGTCCCAGCCCTTCGGATGCCAGAAGACAACGCCGGGCCCTTCCTCCTGGAAATGGAAGAGATCCATCTCGCGCCCAAGCTTGCGGTGATCACGCTTCTCGGCCTCTTCCAGCATGTGAAGGTAACCTTTCAGCTCCTTCTCATTGTGCCAGGCAGTTGCGTAGATGCGGCTCAGCATTTCGTTGTTCGAGTCTCCGCGCCAGTAGGCGCCGGCCACTTTCATCAGCTTGAAGGCATCGCCAATCTGACGGGTCGAGACCATGTGCGGTCCACGGCAAAGGTCAAGCCATTGACCTTGTTTGTATATCTTGAGTTCCTGATCTTCGGGAATCGCATCGACCAGCTCAACCTTGTAATGCTCGCCCTTGGCGGCGAAATAGGTTTTGGCTTCCTCGCGGCTCCAGATTTCCTTGGTGAATTGCGCGCCACGGGCGATGATCTCGCGCATCTTCTTCTCGATAACGGCAAGGTCATCGGGGTGGAAAGGCCAGTCCTCTCCGGAATCCGGATGCACCCTTTTGAAATCATAGTAAAAGCCGTTTTCAATGACCGGACCGATCGTGACCTGGGTTCCCGGCCACAATTCCTGTACCGCTTCGGCCATGACGTGTGCGGCATCGTGCCGGATCAGTTCCAGCGCGCGCGGGTCGTCACGTGTCACTATCTCGATGCTGTGGTCAGCCGAGATGGCGTCGGAGAGGTCTTTCAGTTCGCCATCCAGCGCCACTGCGACCGCCTTTTTGGCAAGCGACTTGGAAATGCCTTCGGCAATGGCAAGACCGGTGGTACCTGCCTCATACTCGCGCACGGAATTGTCGGGAAAAGTCAGTTGGATCATCATGTGTCTCCTGCTCACTCCTGCAGACAAGGCAGGTAAGCTGTTCGATGGAAAATAGACCGCATGCTGATAGGGTATTCGAAGGCAAACGGCAACCCTTTCCGGCAGAGTTCCGCCATACCGGGATTGCAAAGCTGGCGTGAAACGGACGCCCTCGCGCCTAGTTCACGACCAGAGGCGGCGGCCGGCGGCGGATCGGCTGGGATTTGACGATCGACGTGCTTGTTTCAGCCTTGTCGGCAATCCTGTCCAGAATACCGTCCAGTTTTTCGATCGATGGCAACGCAAGGCGTGCAATGAAGCAATCGTCACCCGTTACCTTGTCGCATTCGCAGAATTCCGGAATTTCCTGGATCAACTGTTGAACGATGTGGAGTTTGCCGGGCAGCGGTCTTATTCGCACGATGGCCTGCAGGCTGTAGCCAAGTGCCTTGGGTTCGATTTCGGCCGAAAACCCGAGTATGACGCCACGCTCCTGCAGGCGGCGTATTCGCTCCGATACGCCCGGAGACGACAATCCGGCGCACTTTGCCAGATCCTTCAGGGACATGCGGCCATCCCGGATCAGCGCATCCAATATTTTGGTATCGGTTTCGTCCAATGTCATGATTGCAATCCAATTTCGCAGTTTTCATTTCGATAGTAAGGCAATTTTGATATTTTGCCTAATTTAACGAATGGAACCATGTCACACCCTTTGTCATCCTCGAAGCCTTGAAACACATTGCGAGGCAGAAATGGACAAGACTGTGCGTGGCGCTGCCGAAATGACGGCGGCTATGACCATCCTTGGCACAATCGGTTTTTTTGTCGTGATCTCGGGACAGGCTGCAATCGATGTCGTCTTTTGGAGATGCGCGTTCGGTGCATTGGCCTTGTTCGCGATTTGTGCGGCTCAGGGCCTCTTGCGCAGATGGATATCGCTCAGGCAACTGCTGCTGGCTGTCCTTGGCGGTATCGCTATCGTCATCAACTGGGCGATGCTCTTCACGGCCTATGGCGAAGTTTCGATCGGAATAGCGACAGCCGTCTACAACACACAACCATTTATTCTCGTCGGCTTCGGTGCGCTTTTTCTCGGTGAACGCATAACAGCAACCAAGATTTCATGGCTGGTGATCGCTTTTGCAGGTGTTCTTTTCATTGTTCAGGCAGAGTCCGGCGCCAACCGATCCGACGGCACCGACTATGCACTCGGCATCGCGCTTGCCCTTGGCGCTGCGTTTTTCTGGGCGATTGCCGCACTATTGACGAAAAAACTCACCGGTACACCGCCGCAACTGATCGCGCTCGTGCAGGTCTGCGTCGGCGTTTTGATGCTCGCTCCGTTTGTCGGCTGGTCTGAATTGCCTGACACAGGCGTTGCCTGGGGCGCATTGGTCACGCTCGGCGCCATCCACACGGGCCTCATGTACATCCTGATGTACGGCGCGGTTCAGAAACTTCCGACCCACCTGCAGGGCGCTTTCTCATTCATCTACCCGGTGGTCGCCATCGTCGTCGATTATGCGGCATTCGGACAGGAACTTCACATCGTGCAGCTTTTGGGTGCTGGGACCATCATCCTTGCGGCCGCAGGCATGACACTCGATTGGAAACTTGTAAGGAGAAAGAAACAGCCTGCTTCCACGCTATGAGGCCACGGCCCTTTCCTTGGCTGCCTTGACGATCGATGCATCGCGCGCCGTCTTTGCAACCGCCTCGACACCGCCTCGCGTTTCCTGGATCATGGCAAGAGCTTCCTCGCCGTCCTTCTCGATCTCCTCGATGGCAATATCCGAATAGCTATGCCGCTCCGGCGAAGACTTGACCTTTCGATAAATCCGGTAAACCCGCAAGGTCGACGAGACATAGGCCCAATGTTTGGCGACAATCTCCCATAAATAGCCCGGATAGAATGACAGGGCACTTTCGACCGGCAGGTTGCTGCGGCGATCCTTGCGGAATTTCAGGCGGAAATAGCCGCCCTCCAGGGGATGAACACCTTCGCACTGGATCATCAGCTTGAACCACATCATGAGAAACAGCTTGTTACCGGGCCGGCCTTTCCTGTGCGATGCTGCCCTTCGCAGCACGGTTTCGACATGGGTATCAGAATAGTAGCTTTCCCAGGCTTCCTGGTAAGCTTCTTCCCACTCCGCATCAGTCATTTTTGGATGGTGTGCAACCCGGTGATTGAGATCGTACTTGTTGAGATCCGGGTCCATCCAGCTTCCCTTGGACAGCAGAACCTTGTGGTCCTCCGACCCAGGCAGCGGTGTCAGGTAGAAAAACTCCAGAAGATCGAGCGGCAATTCGTTCTTGATGATTTCAACGTCCCGCAGAACCGATTCCTTGGTATCTCCCGGAAAACCGATGATGTAACCGGCATAGGTGGTCGCGCCATTTGCCCGCCACTTTTGCAGCATTTCCCGATATTCGGTGATCTTGTTCTGGCGCTTCTTTGCCGCCAGCAGATTGTCGGGATTGATGTTCTCCAGACCGATGAATACGCGGTTCACCCCTGCGCGCGTGGCTTTTTCGATGAAATTCTCGATCCGGTGGCAGAGCGTATCCACCTGGATGATGAACTTGATGTCGAATTTTTCTTTCTCGCGCAAGGAAATCAGACGGTCGAAAAGCGGTTCCCATTCCCTGTTGCGAGCAAAATTGTCGTCGGTGATGAAAAAGCGGTTGATGCCCTGTTCGTAGTTGTCACGGATGATCTGCTCCAGGTCGTCGGCGGAGCGGAACCGGCTCTTGCGGCCCTGTACGTTGATGATGGTGCAAAAGGAACACTGAAACGGGCAGCCGCGTCCCAGATCGAAACTGGAATGTGATCCCGCGGTGAATTGAATGTGCTTGGACGGCAGGATCGGGGTCGGTTCGCCTTCGAGCGACGGCAGGTCAGCCATGAAGTTGTAGAGCGGTTTCAGATCACCGTTCCAGGCGTCGCGGAAGAACTGGTCGAGACGACGGTCCTCGGCCTCGCCGGCAAAGTAGCTGACGCCTTCTGCCTGCAGTTCGACCATTTCGTCCGGCATGTCGTCGAGCATCGAAATGCAGCCGGAGACATGAAACCCGCCAATGGCGGTCTGCAGTCCTTCCTTCAGGAACCTCCGGGCAAGGTCCGTTGCACGCGGAAACTGATTGGATTGAACGCCAACAAGTGCGATCAGGGCCTTTCCGCCTTGCTGTTTGATGTCCCGCGCGATCTTTTCGGGGCGCACCCGCTTGTTGGTTTCGTCATAGGTATGAAGGTGTATGCGAACGTGTTCTCCGAGCGCATTGCGATCGCGGGCAGCTTCTGCCAGACCATTCAGACTGGCGAGTGTGTTTGATGGAATGGCTGATCGAAGCCACTGGATCGGATAGCCGTCGTCGTCGTAGTGAGTAGGCTTTATCATCACGAAGTGGAAATCGCGCGCGTCCATGTGCCCTCCCCGGCCTTTCGGCTGATATGGAAACGTCGCATCCGGATGACGTTAGGTCAATGGCAGACAGAGGCTATACCGAAAAGGCTATTTCATGATTATTGGTCATCCAGCCGGTATTTTTCCGGAATGTGCCGTCCCGTCCAACGCCCATAGCGCCATGGCGTGAACCAGTGCGTCTTGTCAGGAAGCGAATCGGGAACAGGGTCAAACCCGGATGCGCCAAAGGGATTACATCTGAGAATGCGCGCCAATCCGATCCATCCACCGGTCCAGAAACCGTATTGCCGGATAGCCTGCTCGGTATAGTCCGAACAGGTCGGTGCATACCGGCACCCTCGTCCCATGAACAGGGATAGGGAATGACGGTAAATCCAGATGAGACCAATCGCCACACGACCGGGAACAGACAAACGCCTGTTCCGGCGGGATTCGGTGTCTGGCCGCTGGCACATGGTTTTAACAGACCGGACGTTTGAGAGGAGTTATGCCGCCGCTCCGTCTTTCTCGGCCTTGGCTTCAATCTGGTCGAGCGCATCGACGACGGCGTCGAAAGTCAACATCGTGGAGGCGTGGCGTGCCTTGTATTCACGAACCGGTTCCAGAAACTTCAGATCTTCGAAACGGCCCTTGGGCGGATCGCCACCTTCCTTGAGCATGGCACGCATGGTTTTTTGTGCATCCCGCAACTCGGCAACGCTGGCTCCGACGACATTCTGGGCCATGATCGAGGAAGATGCCTGTCCCAATGCACAGGCCTTTACGTCATGAGCGAAATCGCTCACCACACCGTCCTTCACACATATGTCAACGAGAACCGTCGAGCCGCAAAGTTTGGAATGTGCCTTCGCCGTTGCGTCAGGTTGCTCAAGACGGCCGATTCGGGGGATGTTTCCGGCGAATTCAAGGATCTTCGCGTTGTAGATGTCGTCAAGCATTCTCGCCTCTTCGTGAAAGCCTGTGATGCGCGACACATTGATGGCGCTTTGCTTTCCTATATATAGATCAGACGCCACGGCAATTTCGCAAGGGGCAGAGTGGTCGCAGTTGGTAGTATACGGCGTCGTATGTGCGCTGGAAACCGGCTCAACCCGCTCAGAAACTGTGCGTTCGCTTTTTGTGTGGAGTATGATAAGGGTCCCCGGCCTTCAAGCGAGGACTTCATGATCTGTGCAAGAACGGGCGCCGTATGACGAGTGACAAGGGTAAATTTGCGAGGATCCCGATGGACGCTGTCCTCAAGCCGGTTGAAAAGAGATTTGAGAGAAAATCGCCGGAGCAATTGCTTCGGCCGAGTCGCGAGGAAGTTGAAGCCGCAGTTCGGACAATTCTTGCCTGGACGGGCGACGACCCGGACCGTGAAGGCCTGGTCGAGACGCCGAAACGGGTCGTCAAGGCACTAAGCCAGCTCTATAGCGGCTATTTTGAGGATCCGGCCGAGCACCTGGAGCGAACGTTCGAGGATGTCGGTGGTTATCAGGACATCGTTCTTGTGCGCGGCATACCGTTTCATTCGCACTGCGAGCATCACATGCTTCCCTTTATCGGCGAAGCGCATATCGCCTATTATCCGGCTGAAGGCGTCGTCGGTCTGTCCAAGCTTGCACGTGTTGTCGATATCTATGCCAAGCGTCTGCAGACACAGGAAAACTTGACTGCGCAAATTGCATCGGTCATTGACGATACCCTCGCGCCGCGTGGTTTGGCGGTAATGCTCGAAGCAGAGCATCAGTGCATGACCATGCGCGGCGTTCAAAAACCGGGGGTCTCCACGATCACCACACAGTTCACCGGCGTTTTCCAGGATGATCCGGCCGAACAGGCCAAGTTCATGACCATGGTGCGCAGCAAGGGTCTCTGAACGAGGGCCCTTGCCCACTTGAGTTAGGCAAGGGCTACTTCCCATGTGCAATCCCCAATTATCCGATCGCGGTGACAAGGAAACCGTCGAAAACGGCACATTACTCATGCCGAAATTCGACAGTGACGGTCTGATTGCCGCAGTAGTGACCGATGTTGCATCCGGGGAAGTGCTGATGGTCGGCTACATGAACGAAGAAGCCTTGAAGCGGACAATCGATACAGGCGAAGCCTGGTACTGGAGTCGCTCGCGCAAAAGTTTCTGGAAAAAGGGAGAAACCTCCGGTCAGGTTCAGACCGTGCACGAAATTCTCACCGACTGCGACCAGGATGCGTTGGTGTTGAAGGTCTCGGTTGCAGGCAACGGCGCCACCTGCCACGTCGGCTACCGGTCCTGCTTCTTCCGGAAAGTGGTAACATCGCACAATGGTGCTTTAGGGGTGCCTGTCGGGCTGGAACCTGTCGAGACCGAAAAAGTTTACGATCCGGCCGAGGTTTACAACAAAGACTGAGACCTTGTTTCCGGATCGACACTAATTCAGGATAATCATCTCTTCGTTGTATTTTTTAGTTATAAAAATCAATAAATTATCATATTTTCGAATTTACAGATATAATTTAATACGTAGTTTCCCTTATACCCCATGAGGTGTTCAGCGGCCTAAGCTCGGTCTCAAGGCTAAAAGACTCGAACAATAGCCGTCTCTGTCTGTCCATGCTGAGGGAGAGGTTATGGCAGAAGACAGTGATACCGGTCACTGGAATGATCGCCACGTGCATCGCCTGCAGTCCGTGGTCTTGGCTTCCGCACGTCAGGTAGTCGAAGCTGCAATCCAGCGGTTCTCCATTCCGATATCAGTTACCTTGCAATCGCCAGGGACGGGTTGACGCCATGTCCAGCCGGCCAGATGTATCAGTGAGCAGGCGAGCGTTCCTGAAGTTTGCCAGTCAACCGAAATCAGATTCAATCAGACCTCCCTGGTCCGACGAAGCCTCCATTCTGGCACATTGTACGGAGTGCAAGAAATGCGTCGCATCCTGCCCTGAAAAAATCATAAAACCAGGAAACGACCGCGGTCCGGTGCTGGATTTTTCAAGTGGTGCCTGCACCTTTTGCGGTGCGTGCGCAGAAGCCTGCCCCTCAGGTGCGTTGGACCGCTCCCGTGAGTTCGACTGGCCATGGAGAGCCGACGTTTCGGACAAATGTCTATCTCTTCAGGCAATCACCTGCCGTGCCTGCGAGGACGCGTGCGAACCGCAAGCGATTCGATTCAAGCTTGCGATTGGCGGCGCGTCGGAACCAATCGTTGATATTGATCAATGCACCGGTTGTGGTGCGTGCGCTTATGGCTGTCCAGTCGCTGCAATAACATTCAAGCGGCTCCAGCCGGAGCAACAAAAGGACCCGACATGAATATTTGCGGCTGTCTCGTTCATGCGACTGCCCCTGCGGTACCCGAAGTGCGCAAGCGGGTTGAAGCAATGAAGGGTGCCGAAATTCATGCGTGCGACGATGACGGTCGTCTTGTCGTCGTTGTCGAGGACACTCCGGAAAAAAAGCTTCCGAGCTGATCATGGAGATGCATCAGATCCCGGGTGTTGTTTCTGTCACCCTCACTTATCACCACTTCGAAGACCTCGCGGCAGATGATGCCGCCTCTCTGCCAGCCAAACCTAGCCAAGCCGGAGACCAGACCCATGACAACCTCTGAATCCCGCAGGACCTTTCTAAAGGCGACCGCGGCTGCCGCGACGGCTTCCGCAGCCGGTATTTCTCTCGGCAACCAGGCAGCTCAGGCGCAGGTCCAGTCCACCGGCATACGTTGGGACAAGGCAGCCTGCCGCTTCTGCGGCACAGGCTGCTCTGTTCTCGTTGGCACAAAGGATAACCGGGTGGTTGCCACCCAGGGGGACCCGGATGCACCGGTAAACCGGGGCCTGAATTGCATAAAGGGCTATTTCCTTTCGAAAATCATGTACGGCGAAGACCGCCTGACCCAGCCGCTGTTGCGCAAGACCAATGGCGTCTACGACAAGAATGGTGAGTTTGAACCGGTCAGCTGGGACGAAGCCTTCGATGTCATGGCCCAGAAATGGAAAGAAGCACTCGCCAAGAAAGGTCCGACATCGGTCGGTATGTTCGGCTCCGGACAATGGACCGTCTGGGAAGGCTATGCCGCAGCCAAGCTGATGAAGGCCGGCTTCCGCTCCAACAACATCGATCCTAACGCGCGTCACTGCATGGCCTCCGCTGTTGTCGGCTTCATGCGGACCTTTGGCATCGACGAGCCAATGGGTTGTTACGATGACTTCGAGCACGCCGATACATTTGTGCTCTGGGGCTCCAACATGGCGGAAATGCACCCGATCCTCTGGTCGCGCCTTACCGATACTCGCCTGACCAAGCCCGGCGCCCAGGTACACGTTCTCTCCACGTTCGAGCATCGTTCCTTCGAACTTGCCGACAACGGCATGATCTTCAAGCCGCAGACCGATCTTGCCATCCTGAACTATATCGCCAACCACATCATCTCGACCGGTCGCGTCAATGAAGACTTCATGTCCAAGCACGTGAACATCACCAAGACCGCGACCGACATCGGTTACGGCCTGCGGCCTGAAAACCCTCTTCAGGAAGCAGCCGCAAATCCGGATTCCGGCGAACTGGAGGCCATGAGTTTCGACGAATATGCAGCTTCAGTCGCGGAGTATTCGGTGGACAAGGTGTCCGAACTGTCAGGCATTCCCGCTGAAAAGCTTGAACTTCTGGCAGAACAATACGCCGACCCGGATCGCAAGGTGATGAGTCTTTGGACCATGGGCTTCAACCAGCATACCCGCGGTTCCTGGGTCAACTCGCTTTGCTATAATGTGCATCTTCTGACCGGCAAGATTTCCGAGCCGGGCAACTCCCCCTTCTCGCTTACCGGTCAGCCGTCTGCTTGCGGCACGGCCCGGGAAGTCGGAACCTTTGCCCACCGGTTGCCCGCGGACATGGTGGTGGCCAACGACAAGCATCGCGAGATTTGCGAGACTGCCTGGAAGATCCCTGCAGGGACGATCCCGCCGAAACCGGGTTTCCACGCCGTCCTGCAGCACAGAAAGCTGAAGGATGGTGTTCTCAACGCCTACTGGGTTCAGTGCAACAACAACATGCAGGCCGCCCCAAATATCAATGAGGAAGGCTATCCCGGATACCGCAATCCGGAAAATTTCATCACTGTCTCCGATCCCTATCCGACAGTCACCGCAGTGTCCGCGGATCTGATCCTGCCAACTGCGATGTGGGTCGAGAAAGAAGGCGCATACGGCAACGCGGAGCGCCGTACCCAATTCTGGCGTCAGCAGGTGTCGGCGCCGGGAGAAGCCAAATCAGACCTGTGGCAACTCATGGAATTTGCCAAACGCTTCACCGTTGAAGAAGTTTGGGGCGAAGAATTGCTCGCCAAAATGCCCGAACACCGGGGCAAGACGATGTTCGATGTGCTGTTTGCCAACGGCCAGGTCGACAAGTTCCCGTTAAGCGAAACCGCGGAAGGTTTCCAGAACGACGATGCCGAACACTTCGGCTTCTATGTTCAAAAGGGTCTTTTCGAGGAATATGCAGACTTCGGGCGCGGTCACGCCCACGATCTCGCACCCTTTGAGACTTATCATCAGGCGCGCGGGCTGCGCTGGCCGGTCGTCGACGGCAAGGAAACACTTTACAGATTCCGGGAAGGCTATGACCCTTATGTGCCCGAAGGCGAGGAAGTCCGCTTTTACGGCCACAAGGACGGCAAGGCCAAGATCATTTTTGCGCCGTACGAAGATCCGCCGGAGATGCCGGATGAAACTTTCGACCTGTGGTTCTGCACAGGCCGTGTTCTTGAACACTGGCACTCCGGATCCATGACCCGTCGCGTACCGGAGTTGCACCGGGCATTCCCGCTTGCGGTTGTGTTCATGCATCCATCCGACGCCGAAGCACGCGGATTGAGAAACGGTCAGGAAATCCTCGTTTCAACACGTCGCGGCGAAGTGCGCAGCAAATTGGCGACACGTGGTCGTAACAAGGTGCCCCAGGGACTGGTGTTCATGCCGTGGTTTGACGAGGGTCAGCTTACGAACAAGCTCACGCTTGACGCAACTTGCCCGTTGTCGAAGGAAACCGATTTCAAGAAGTGTGCCTGCAAGGTGGAACGCGCCTAGGCGCGTCCACCCGGACCCGGATCCTTGCCATGGCAATGCCACAGCTTTCACATTCCCGCCGTCGCTTTATGACCGACACCGCGCGTATGGCTTGCGGCTGCGCGGTCGCGGGGCTCGGGCTCGGGTATGTGGCAAGTGATGCGCGGGCATTGCCGGCCGATGCTCTTCGGCCACCTGGCGCCTTGCCGGAGACGGATTTCCTGAGCGCCTGCATTCGCTGTGGCCTGTGCGCGCGCGATTGTCCGTTCGACACTTTGAAACTCGCAGATCTCGGCGAAGAAGGTCCGGCGACGGGAACCCCCTATTTTACTGCTCGCAAGGTTCCTTGTGAAATGTGCGATGACATTCCGTGCGTCGCGGCATGTCCGACCGGCGCACTTGATCCAGCACTGGAGGATATTGACGACGCCCGCATGGGAACAGCAGTCCTGGTGGATCAGGAAAACTGCCTGAACTTCCACGGCCTGCGTTGTGATGTCTGTTATCGTGTCTGCCCGTCGATTGACGAGGCGATCTCGCTGAAGGCATCGCACGACGAGCGCTCGGGCCATCACGCCATTTTTGCCCCGACAGTGCATGCGGATCATTGCACGGGCTGCGGGCTCTGCGAGAAAAGCTGCGTATTGCCAGAGGCAGCGATAAAGGTGTTGCCTGTGCGACTGGCGCGCGGCGAGGCCGCTGATCATTATCGCCGGGGCTGGGAAGAAAAAGAAGCAAATGGCGCTCCCCTTGTCGAAGGCTTGATCGACCTGCCCGATCGCCTGCCGGGGCCGGGCACCGACAATCTTGCCGCACCCGGTGGTTTCGAACCGACCTTCAAACTTCCCGGAGGCGGCCAATGAGTGTGGAGACGCACCTTCCCGTGGGATTTGAAGCCCTGGAAGAGAAGGGCTGGATCGGCTCCAGGCGCTTTCTGTTGCTGCGCAGGGCAAGCCAGCTGTTGTTCCTCGCGCTCTTTCTGACCGGTCCCCTGTTCGGTCTTTGGATCACCAAGGGAACACTCGCCGGTTCCATGACGTTCGACATCCTGCCGCTGACCGATCCCTTTGTGGCAACACAAAGTTTTGTCGCCGGCCACTGGCCTTCGGCAACTGCGTTGCTCGGCGCCCTGATCGTAGTTGTCGCCTATGCTCTCCTTGGCGGTCGGTCGTATTGTTCCTGGGTTTGTCCCGTAAATCCGGTGACGGATGCAGCTCACTGGGTACACCGCCGCCTTGACCTGCCGAAAGGCTGGCAACCAAAACGTTCTACCCGTTTGTGGCTTGTTGGGATCGTGCTGGCAGTCTCGCTGCTAACGGGAACGATTGCCTGGGAAGCAATCAATCCGGTCACAATCATACACAGGGGCCTGGTCTTCGGCCTGGCCTCGGCTTGGATTGTGGCAGCGGGGGTCTTTCTTTTCGATCTCTTCGTCGCACGTCGGGGATGGTGCGGCCATATTTGCCCAGTCGGCGCGTTTTACGGCCTGATCGGGAAAGTGGCACTCGTCCGCGTGAGTGCCGCAAACCGGGATGCCTGCGACAATTGCATGGACTGCTATGCCGTTTGTCCGGAAAAACAGGTCATTTCCCCTGCCCTCAAGGGCGCTCCCGGCAGTTCGCCGATCATCCTTGCAGGTGACTGCACCAATTGCGGTGGCTGTATCGACGTCTGTGCACAACACGTTTTTTCCTTCACCCACCGGTTCGACGAGCGGATTGTCGAACCGAGCCCTCAATCCGCGCCTGAACAGAGCGCCGCAAGCAAGATACACAAGGAGTGTTCTCAATGAAAAAGTCGGTACTCGCGGGTGTCGCCGCCCTCGCAGTTCTTGTTGGCATTGGCGGGTTTGCCGTCGCTCAGCAGGATCAAGTCAAGGCCATGCGATCTGATCCTGTAGACGAGTTGAACAGGCTCGGCCCGGATTTCAAATGGGCGGAAAAGGAAGGTCGAATGCAGAGGAATTACCGCCAGCAACCGCCGCTGATCCCACACTCCATTGCGCAGTACCAGATCGACATTCGCACCAATCAGTGTCTGTCATGTCATGACTGGACCAAGGCTGGTGAACGCGGTGCTCCAACGCTCTCGATGACCCACTATCTCGACCGTGAAGGCAACGAACTCGATCACATCGCGGGAACAAGATACTTCTGCAATCAATGCCATGTGCCGCAAGCTGATGTTCCAGCCCTGGTCGACAATCAGTTTGAACCGTCCGCTCCCATCCAAACCCGCTGACGCGCTGAACCGTTACAAGGAGCCTTCGAAAAATGGCTGAAAACTCAGAAAACGGAAAGCCGGGAAACCCGATCCGCCGCGCCTGGAACTGGTTCTGGACTCCGACCGCAGTACTGAGCGCAGGGTTCGTGCTGCTTGCGGGGTTCCTTGGTGGAATCATGTTCTGGGGCGGTTTTCACTGGACACTGGAGCTCACCAACACAGAAGAGTTCTGCACCAGCTGCCACACCATGGAAACCAACCTCGCCGAATACCGTACAACCATTCACTACAGCAACCATTCAGGCGTGCGCGCGATCTGCTCGGATTGCCATGTTCCTCACGAGTGGCAACACAAGCTGAAAGCCAAGATCATGGCAGTGAAGGATGTCTATCATGAAGTGGTCGGGACAATCAGCACCCCGGAAAAATACGAGGCGCACCGCGGGGATATGGCTGCAGTTGTCTGGCGCAAGATGAAACTGTCCGATAGCCGCGAGTGCCGGAACTGCCATAACTTCAAATACATGGACTTTACGATCCAGGAAACGCGCGCCGCAGCGGAGCACCAGCGCGCTCTCGACGAAAACCTGACATGTATCGATTGCCACCAGGGTATCGCGCACGACCTGGCACCTGGATATCAGGAACGTTACCGGGAAGTTGTTGAGGAATTGCAGGCAAGCAACGCCCTGCCCGTTGACCCGTCCGAAGATGTCGCCGCGATCAGGTCTTACGTCGCTGACTTGTCTGAAAAATAACTTGCCCGGCGCCGGAACACGAATGCCGGCGCCTGCTCACTCTCATTCGTTGGAAAAGGCTGAAGCATGCTTGGTATCCTCGACTTACTTGGAACAATTGGTGGAAACGTTTTGAGCCTGCCGGGGATTCTGGGTCTAGCGCTCGGCATGATGACCCGGAACTGGATACTTGCGGCCGTCATGGGAGGTTTCGTCGGTATTGCGGAGACACTGGTGTTTGCAGGTTTCAAGCTGGCAGAAGTTCAGATGATCGACCTTTTCATAGCGGTTCTGGTCGGTGTGCTTGCAAGCAGCGTCGGGTGTGCCATCCGGCACAAGGGGGCGACTGTCTGAAACTTCTGCCGCGGAGCTATGAATGGCTCGGTATCAAAAAACACGAAATGCTGGCGCACGTGCCAGCCTTTTTACACATGGAACACGTGTTGTCTCAGGACATGGAAATGTAGTTTCGCATCTGCTCGGCTTCGAGTTCAACCTGGGCAATCTTGTGCTTCACCACGTCGCCGATTGAGATCACACCGGTCAGTTTGCCGTCTTTCACCACCGGCATGTGACGGAACCTGCCTTGTGTCATGCGCGCCATCACTTCATTGACACTGTTGCCCTCGTTGCATGTCACGACCTCCTTGGTCATGACGCTCGTGACCGGCAATTTCAGCGCAGATGGTCCCTGTGTCCCGATCACGCGCACAATGTCGCGTTCTGAAACAATTCCCTCAATGGCCTTGTCCCTGGAACAAACCACCACTGCGCCGATCTTGTGTTTTGCCAGGGTTTCGCAAATGTCGCTCAGCAGTGCATCACTGCTTGCTGTAATGGTGTCGTGGCCCTTCCCACTCAGAATTGCGGCAACGGTCATCTAACAATACCTCCCTCAGCGTCAACCAGCCCGTGTTAAAACCGGATGCAGGTATCATGGCAAAAAAATGGGATCACGCAAACCATTAACACTGCGCCATTTCGACCGGCAGGTCAGAAACGCCGCCTCGGTACGGGATCAAAAAACGGGAACAGCGCGAGGCCGGCGGCAAAGCCGCCAATATGTGCCATCCAGGCGACACTTGCCGGCTGTCCGGCAACCGGACCGCTCATGAGACCGAAAAAGAGATTGAGCCCGAACCACACGGCAACGAAGACCAGGACCTGCTGATTGCGGAAACAATCGGCCAGCGGCTTCGCCGGCACCATGTAGGCCTCGCGATCGGTACGACGGATGGCACCGAGCGGGCCGCCCAGTTCGAAGACAAAGCGAATCGCGGCTGCCATCTGACCGGAAATCGCTGCCGACGCGCCAATCATCGGAACGCCCTCGCCCCAGTTCGTCGCCAGGTGTGCAAGTGCTCCCCCGACCGAACACAGCGCCGAAAAGAGCAGAAATCGGCTGACGCCGAACCTGCGTGCAACCGCGCTGCCGAAGATCGCCATCCAGAGCAGATTGAAAATGATATGCGTCGCACTGCCGTGCAGCAGGGAATAAGTGACAAATGCCCAAAGCGCCGAAGCCATGTCCAGCGCGGAGAGCCCAGCAAAAATCGAGTATTTCACCGGCCAGAATGCAAAAAGGACGAGGATGAGATTGTCCCAGACAACGGGAAGCAGGAACACCCGCACGAGATGAATCGCAATCAGAATTCCACTGAGCCAGATGATGATATCAGGCAGATTGATCGCAGGCGGGCCGGCAGGTCTTCTGGGCGGTTGCTGCTTTTCGGCTTGTTCACGCCGGCTGCGTTCTTCGTCGAATTTGTATACGTTCATGGAATCTCGCTCTTTCCCCTATTTCTTCTAAGCAAGATCCCGGACAAAACAAGGGCGGCTTGATGATCAGGCGATCATTTCCTTCAAATGGTGAATGTCTTTTCAGATTGCCGCAGCGGATTTGCGCAAAAAAAGCAAGGACGCCGGTGCAAATCGAGATCAGATGAGATCCCGGGCACCGGCGTCCTGTCTTCCCCCCAAAAGGTCGGTCGCGTCCCCACGCGCTCTTGTCAGGTCACTGTTCAGTTTCGAAGAACTTCAGCGCTCAATTGTGTTTGCGCGCTTGCGTCCTGCTTCGCTCCATTGCCGGGTTTTCGGCTTGAACCGCCGAGGCTGTTTGCCTCGCCATAAATCTGAACAGAACGTTAAGCTGCCAGCACCACCGACTGAAGACAAGCAACACCGAAAATTAACCTTAACACCTGCCCCACCTCATTGTTTCATATCCATCAGCCACTTGGCACGCCCCATGCTTAGTAGAGGTCAGTCAAACACAGGATCGGACAAGCGCCCCATTTTGAAACAGTAGTGTCTTGAGACGATACACGGGGCGAATAATGGCGATGAGGCGAAGCAAGATGAAACACGGCGTAACGCAAACTCTTTATTCTTACTGGGACAACCTGCGCGGCGCCCGTCCAGCCCCGAACCGCAGTGAAGTCGACCCCGGTGAAATTCGCGGTCTGTTGGGAGATACCTTTATTCTGGAAACAAAAGGACCCCAGGACGTGCGTTACCGCCTGGCCGGAACGCGCCTTTGTTCGGCCCATTGCCGTGAACTTAAAGGCAGGAACTTCCTGCGTGGCTGGAGCACGAAGGATCGTGAAGCCCTGGAAAGCCTTGTTGCTGCCATTACGGAAGACGCGGCAGCGGCGGTCATTGGCGTTAGCGGTCACACCGAGCGGGATCAGGTTCTGCATATGGAAATGCTGCTCGTCCCTCTCAATGTGCCTGGAGAAGGCCGGATCCGCATCCTCGGAAGTTGTACACCGATGGAAAAGCCCTATTGGATCGGCCTGCACCCGATCCTGAACCAGTCGATCAGCAGCCTGCGTCTTGTCTGGCCCGACGAGCGGCCCTTCTTTGCCGACGCACCGGCAGCGGTCAATCCTATCCTGCCACGCTTCACGGCAGAAGGCATGAGCATGCCGGCGCCCACCCTGCCCCAGGGTGCCGAGCGCAAGGTCGGTCATCTGACAGTCTATAGCGGCGGCAAGTCCTGACCGCTTCGCACAAGACGCATCAAACACGCCCCACTATCCGAAAACCCGGAATCAACCGGGTTTTCTAACGCCGCGTCACAATTCTTGCCTCAAACTTGATGTCTGCACCTCTCTCTTTTTTCCAGGAGTGGTAATTTTTCCCGATGCAATTTATAGGAAGTTGCGCACTTTCGTTGCGCCGCTGGGAATCTCATGAAATTTTTAACGTCTAAAAGCAGTTGAGCGCCCCAATTCTTACACATCGTTAACCTCATCTGCCTAATGTATGAGTGAGACGTTTGGGGATTCGGGTTTCGGCCACTTGGTGCGGGACACACTGTTTGGATAGAGCAGGCATGGACGCCGGATTGGCAACAGCACCAGAAGGAAGCAAACCGCTTCAAGTCACGGACCGCCGGCGGCATCAACGTGTTCAGGTCGATATACTTGGCCGTTTCATGTTGGAGGACCGCCGGGAATACCCCTGTCAGATCATCGATATGTCACCAGGCGGAATGGCCATGATCACTCCTGTCGAAGGGCGTGTTGGTGAACGGGTGATTGCTTATCTTGATCATTTGAGCCGCGTCGAGGGACGTATTTCGCGGGTGATTGACGGCGGTTTTGCCGTTGAACTGCGCAACACCGCCCGCAAGCGCGACAAGATCGCGAACGTCCTGACCTGGCTCGCCAACAGGGATGAGCTCAATCTTCCAGAAGATCGCCGCCACGACCGTTTCGTGCCGAAAAATCCCATGACGAAGATGATCCTGCCGGACGGTTCGGAACATGTCTGCCGGATAATCGATGTGTCCCTTTCCGGGGCAGCCATCGCAACGGACAGCAGTCCCGAAATGGGTGATCCGATTACTCTCGGCAAGATGCAGGCCCGCGTCGTCCGGCGCATCGAAGGCGGCATTGCCGTCGAATTCGCCGCCGTCCAGAGCCGCGAGTTGCTGGAACACCATATCTCTGCGCCTGACTGAAGCTATTCCTGCCCCAGCCAGAAGATTGAGAGAGCTGCGTTTTGAACGGCTCCCTCGAGACTGAACTTACTGATTTGCCAGGTTACTTTTTCGTGGTTGCACGTACACTCGTGCACAACGATGCGGCCGTCAGAGCTGCGATACCCACTGGTTTGTATTGGCTTTCCAAACTGCCGGCCACCTGCGGTCCCCGCTTCGGACGGGAATTTCGCTCTAACTTGTTCCTGCGTTCTTGATTCATGGCAGTTTTCAGGTCTTCAAGAAGAATGTTCATTTGTCTGCCTCCAGTTCGTGTGTTCTAGAGTCAGGAATACAAGGAACATGCCAAATGACAGGAAACAAGAAAACATCACTTAAACAATATCTTAGCGAAAATTCCTATTTCCAGAGCCGGTTTGTCGCCTCCCAATGACAGAACACAATTCCCATTTTGGGTTGTATTTTGATCGATTTCGAGAATCTGGTGTACTTCGTGCGAATGCGGGCACAGCAGCGATAAACACCTTGACGTTGACTGGCCAATGCAATGTTTGCCCCTGTTTGGATTGACGGGAATTTCGTCTCTCTTGGCCGCAATTGAAATTCCAGCCGTTTCCGCCCGGTCTTCATGCCATCTTTTACCTCATGGAAACCGTGGTCACCGCGTCGGATCATTTTGGACCGCGAAGCGCTTTCCTGAATAGTCAGCTGCGACGCTTTCAGAATAAGTGTTATGCTGGGATATCAAACGAGGGAGCCGGCCATGAGCAAATCTCTTGCTGCCCTGTGCTTGTTGTTTTTGATGACAACAACCGTAAAGTCCGACGTCAGATTTTGGTATCAGGACGGCAACTGGACAGTCTGGAATGAAAAAACCAAATGCAAAGCGGTCAATCGGCCGGTCATCGAGACCAGCCACGCTCCGTACATGTCTTTCTGGTTTGTTCATGATCTGGCCAATCCAGGCGTTTCGATCGACGCCTATTTTTGGCCCGGTGTCTTTGTCCAGGGCACGAAATTCAACATCAACCTTCTCGTGTCCTATGGCGATGAGCAGATAACGGTTCCGGCTGAGGCCGGACTTGATTTCGCCTTGAGGACGGACAGGCCACTGTCACAGACAGAAATCGATCTTCTCGTGAAGCAAACCCTGTTGATCGTCAAACCGGAGAATTCGTCGTTCAGTATTGCAGTTGATGCCGTCAAAATTCCGATTGTTTTACAGCAGCTGAAAGTGTGTGCTGATGTTCTCGGGAGAGCGGCGCAGAACCCGGAGTGATCTTCGGACGTGGAAGTTTTGCGTCTTCTTGCAGGACTGCTCTACCAAGATCTTCGAAAACACCCGGGAAAGCGTCACCCGGTCAGGTGATCGGGTTACATTCTCGGCAGAGCGTACCTTTCTGTGGATTGCCAGAATTTCGCGGATGAGCCTTGGCCGTCTTTGACCCATGACGAGTTGGAGTTCACACCTGAGCGCCCCGTTCGCAATGCTCTTGATCCATTTCCAACTCAGCTGACCTGTCCGGATTGGAAGTCGTGAACATTTGGATTGTGATGACAAACGCCGAAGATACATCGCCAAGCGCCCCTTTTTTGGGAGAACAATGCCGCTACGGTTTCCCGGTTTGAAATTCACTTGTGATCACGCGGCAGTCGATCAACACTCAAGACGAACACAACATTAAAACGTTCACCGCCACCAATTACAGTGTCCGGTTCATTCTCAGCAAATGTAAAATTGGAAAATATAAAAAAATAGCTAGATCCTGCATGTATACGCGTGAGGATTTATCTTTATTAATATTTCTTCGTGCTCAAATTTTATGATAAATCAGAAAATTTTGCAGTAGCGTATGCTTCCATTGCAATTTAAACATTGCAGATATTTAACAAAATTGCGCTCTCGCCGTGGCTTCCGGTTATTGAATAGGCGCACCATGTGCACCAGATGAGTAAAAAGGAGGAAGCTGATGAACCTACACACCGCACATTGTCTATTAGTGCGCGACGGACTGACATTCAACCGTTCGCGACTTCAATGGTTGCCCTGGAAACAGTATCGCTCGTTCCGGGACGCCAACAAAGGCAACCGCAAAGACAGATAGAAACCAGGCCTGTCAATCAGCGCCGCCCGATCGATCAATCCGGGCGGCGCTGAGATCTGCGTTCAAACCTGGTTCTTTTTTTCGTTTACCCGAACGAACCCACATTGCTCGGCCGGAAGTGCCACCGTGTTTTTGAAAAAAATCCGATTGCAGGAAATTATATTTTCGCCCCGAACCGTGCGCCAGACGGATGAAATCAGGATTGCTTCGCCGAACTGGATTTGTTCTCCACCCCGGTCCTGACACGGCCCCGTCCAACAATCATCAACAATTTCACACGCTTCCAGGAGATCGATAAAATTTTAGACAAATTCGATTCAAGTTTTCTTAAAAAGAAAATTTCATTTTACTAAAATAAAAATCGAATTAGATTAAAGTATAAATAAGGTTTTACTTCGAAGTTTTTCGCGAAGTAAAAAGCATTGAGTCATCGTTACATCAGCCTTGGGGAGGGTGTTACGATGAATTTACTTGGAAAGCTTCTCTTTATCACAACATTGGTCGCGACGGGTGTCTTTGCCGGGTCTCCGGCACTTGCCGACCCTGGCCGTTTCATGGACATGAATATGGTGACCAAAGCACCAATCGGTCACAAGCAATTCTGCCGCGACAATGCCTGGGCCTGCCCGAAAGAACGCTATCAACCGGTTGTGGTCAAGCTCAATGAAGCGCGTTGGAACCAGTTGATCGCGATCAATGCAAAGGTCAACCGTCGTGTAAAGCCGATGACAGACGACGACCTCTTCGGCAAGATCGAGCACTGGTCCTACCCGGTGAATGGTTACGGTGACTGCGAAGAATATGTTCTGGAAAAGCAGCGCGTCCTGATGGAAGCCGGTTGGCCCAAAAGCGCTCTGCTCATCACGGTCGCCAAGGATGTGGACAATGCGGGCCACGCGGTGCTGACCGTCAGGACCGACCACGGCGACATGATCCTGGACAACCAGATCGAGGCTGTCCTGCCCTGGTATTCAACACCTTACCGTTACATCAAGCGCCAGTCCCCAAGTTCATCCGTCAGGTGGACAGGCATCTCCGACACGCGCGTGACCACCGTCAGTTCCGTGTCTCAGTAAGCACAAGGATAGGGATCGGCCTGTTGCAGGGCCGTCAGGACGATCCGGTCGCGTCCCCACCCTCCCCATCCCTACCACGACCGGATCCAGGGAACCGGCCCGCCCCCCGCAGGCCGGTTCCCGTTTTTTTGGTCGGGTGGGAACTTTTTTCGTCTCAGGTCTCCGAGAGGCCATCCCTGTAGCGCCGCCAGTTTCGAACGTAGCCTTCAGCTGACTTGCGGATATTGTCCTTTGCCTCGTCCGGCAGCGTGCGGACCACCTTGCCCGGAATGCCGACAACCAGTGAATTGTCCGGGATTTCCTTGCCTTCGCCGATCAGTGCATTCGCACCGATAATGCAGTTGGAGCCGATAATGGCTCCATTCAGCACTGTCGCGCCCATACCGATCAACGAATTGTCCTTGACGGTGCATCCGTGAAGGATCGCGTTGTGCCCGATCGTGCAATCCGCGCCGATCGTGAGCGGGTAACCCATGTCGGTGTGAAAGACGCAGCCATCTTGCACATTCGAGCGCGGACCGACGATCACCGGTTCGTTGTCACCTCTCAAGATGGCTCCAAACCAGACACTCGCCGCCTCGCGGAGCCTGATATCACCGATGAGGGTTGCATTCGGCGCAATCCAGAAATCGCCGTTTTGAGGAAAATCCGGCGCACGGCCGTCAAGTGCATAAGTCGGCATGGAACCTCAGGTGTAACCGGCGACAATCAGAGCGACATTCATGACCAGAATACCAGAGCACATGCTCCACATCCCGGCAATCGTGGATGACGCCACAAGCCAGCCGAGCGGCCGCTTTTCGATCCTGCGCCCCCGAATGGCGTTACGCATGATGATAAACGGTCCGGCAAAGACGCAAAGGAAAACCTCGATTAGAAAAGCGAGCAGGTTTTCGCCCGAAAAGGAAAATTTTGGCGGTTGTCTGGTGACAAGTTGATAAAGGCTTCCGAGAACACCTGCTGCAACAAAGCCTGCGCTCGCGACATATCCAACGAGAAGAAGAGAGAAGAACACGCCCATTAACCTCTTATTAACTGGTCCGGCCGGAAACTGATTAACAAATTCTAAACGGTCAAATGCAAAGACTGTGCCGGACGGGTAAATGGGCAAAAACCTGGACTTCAGGCCACATGGGGCAAACGACAAGGCATCCTCGATCGGAACACCTGTTCCGTTTCGACACACTCTGTCCCATACCAGAGCACCCGGCCGACGGGATCAGATCCGATGATCCCGATGACGCTCCCGACCGCCAGCGGTGCCAACCCCCGCCGATTCAGGTTGCTGATGCTCGCGATATTGGTCCTTGGCGCGGCACATATCGTGGAACGGGCTGCCTACTGGACCAGCAACTGGGATGCCTACGCATCTTCCGATTCAGCGTCCGGCCCGGTGTACATTACAATCGGCAATACCGGATTTGTTCTCCCCGTCGACTACATTGCCAGGCCCAAACAACGTTCGCGGATCTTCGGTGGCGAAACAAACGTGAGATCGTTGAAGCTGTCCATGACATGGCCGGGTCTTGCCCCTGTGACAGGATCTCCGGGTGCTGGCAGGTTCGGTGCCACCGGGCGCACGCTGGTTGTAGACCTGGAGCATAATCCGGGCCGCGAGAGCATGAGAGCACGTCTGGACCCGTTTTACAGACGCCTTGCGCGAGGCGGTGAAATGAACGGACCTGATGGCCTCAAGATACTGACGCTTTCATCACGAGGTGCAGCCAAACGTGATCTGATCGTCTACGATCCGGCGCGACCGAACGGCTTCATCGCCCGATGTGTGATTTCAAAGTCGAGGCACGAAGCAATGTGTTACCGGGCGATTGTCATGACGTCGGGTCTGGAACTCAGGTACCGCTTCGATGAAGATCTGCTGGCAAACTGGCGGCAGATCGACGACGCCATTGTCCGCAAGGTAAGAGCATTTCGGCAGAGTTGACCTCAGGCCGCTCGACGCTGGAAGACAGAAAAGGGCAGCCTCTCGTGAGAAAGGCCGCCCTTGTCAAATGGTTCGATTGAGACTCAGACCTCGTCCAGATCGATTTCCAGAATAGCCATCTGGAAGTTCCAGCTCAGATCCTCGTCTTCGTCGTCGCGGAAGATCACGCCGATAAATTCTTCGCCGATATAGACCTCTGCGGAGTCGTCCTTGCGCGGACGGGCCCGCACTTGAAGGCTCTGCAGCTCGAATTTCAAACGCAGGTACGCTTCGATCTTGCGGATTTCATCGGGTTTCACGGCGCTCTCCTTGTAAATGCCGTCTGCTATTTAGTCGCGCGGACCCTATAAGACCAGCCCAAAATGCCAAACCCTTTCCGCAAACTATCCCCCGGTTCCTTTTTCCGCACAGACCTTCAGTCATCACCAAGCAACTGGTTCATGCTACGTGCCGGTTCCGCACATCCCGCCTTGCCGACGATTCTGGCCGGAACACCAGCCACCGTTGTGCATTCGGGCACATCCGCAAGTACGACAGATCCGGCGGCGATACGCGAGCAATGGCCGATCTCGAGGTTACCGAGGACTTTTGCACCCGCACCAATAAGGACACCGTTCTGGATCTTAGGATGGCGATCGCCGCCTTCCTTGCCCGTACCGCCCAGAGTAACGCCCTGCAGGATGGAAACATCATCGCCGATAGCAGCAGTCCCACCGACAACGATGCCTGTACCGTGATCTATGAATATGCCGCGCCCGACCGGAACAGCCGGGTGAATGTCGATCTGGAACACTTCCGACGCGCGGCTCTGCAGATAGAGTGCGAAGTCCTTGCGTCCCTTGCGCCAAAGCCAGTTCGCAAGACGGTGGGTCTGAAGCCCATGGAAACCCTTGAAATAGAGAACCGGTTCCAGGTAGCGGAAACAGGCCGGATCGCGATCGAAGACGGCCACGATGTCGACACGGAAAATCTTGGCCAGTTCCGGTTCATCTGCAAGCGCTTCAAGATAGGTTTGCCGGATGAGTGACGCGGAGACGACATCTCTTCCGAGCCTGTCTCCCAACCTGTGCAAGACCGCTTCTTCGAGACTGTCGTGATTGAGAACAGTTTCATAGACAAAGGAAGACAGCGCCGGTTCGACGGCAACCATCTGCTGAGCCTCGTCGCGTAACTTCTGCCAGACCGGATCATGGGTCGGAACGCGTTCTACGTCGGGCTTCGATATCGATGCCGACATGGCCTGTCTCCTTTTCAAGCCGTCACAAACGTTATCCTAAAATAGGACTGTCGTCGGATATTCCAAAATGAAACTTGCTGATATCAGATATGAAACCCTTTTATGAAACGCGAAAGTTTAAGATTTCTGGCGTTCTAGCTGCCCGGCGATCACAATTTGAGGAACAAGAATGCCACATGACGGAAACAGTGCCGTGAAAACGGACAACCCGATTCTGGCAATTCGTGGCCAAGTCGCAGAAATTGTTCTGAACGCTCCGGACCGCAAAAACGCACTTTCCTTGTCCGCCTGGGAGCGCATTCCCGGACGACTTCACGAGCTGACGGCAAACCCGGAAATTCGTGTTTGCGTCATCCGAGGAGCTGGCAGGAGGAGTTTCTGCGCTGGTGCGGACATTTCCGAATTCAAGGCAATCCGCTCGACCCCCGAAGCCGCGATGCGGTATGACGCGATCAACGTTGCGGCCTTCAAGGCGCTCAAGAATGTTGCAGTTCCTGTGATCGCTGCGATCGAAGGTCCCTGTCTCGGTGGCGGACTGGGGCTGGCACTTGCCTGCGACCTGAGGATCGCCTCGCAAACGGCCTTGTTCGGAATTCCGGCAGCCAGGCTCGGGTTGGCCTATCCTCCGGATGCCTTGTCAGATCTCCTGGAAGTTGTCTCCCCACCTGACGCAAAGAAGATCCTGTTCACCGGCGAGCGGTTTTCGGCGGAATCCGCGCTGCAAATGGGATTGATCAGCGAGGTGTTGAGCCCCGACGCCCTTGATGCTCGGATCGAGGCCCTGTGCAACGCGATCTGTGCAAATGCGCCGCTATCTGTGAGGGCAGCAAAACAGGCGGTGAACAATCTGTCCGACAACGCCGCACAAGAGAAACTTGAAAGTGATCGTTTGAACGCCCGGAACTGTATCGACAGCGCCGACTACGACGAGGGCTGCAGGGCTTTTCTGAAAAAACGCCAGCCTGTATTCTCAGGCCGATGACAACGGAAACACTGGTTGCCTGTGCGACTGCCAATATACGCGCAAATAGCTCACCGTTGGCGGACTCGTTTTCTCATGAAACCTCCGCAAATCTCTGAGACCATTATCATTACCTGCTCAAGGCAGGGACCGCATCCGCCCTCAATTCGAGCAGGAAGTTCTCCACGGCTGACGCAAACACATCATTGCGGTCTCCGGCAACCATATGCCCGGCATCCTGGATGTCCGTGAATTTCGCATGAGGCACCCGCGCCAGGAATTCCTGTACATGCTCCATCGAGACCAGTTCGGAATTTCGCCCGCGTATCAGCAGAACGGGCAAGGTGAGATTGCCCACAGCCACAAGCATGTTTGCCTGAATCTGGTCTGACAACTTCGGGTCTTCGTGCTGTCTCGATCTCAGGAAAGCCGGATCCCAATGCCAGCGATAGCGGCCATCGCCATGCAAGCGCAGGTTCTTGGCCAGACCCGAGAGATCTTTCGGCCTTGTCCGGTTTGGCAGATACCGTGAAATGGCATCTGCCGCCTCTTCGACATCCACAAAGCCTTCTTCGACCCGGTCTCCCATGAATCCGATGATCTTGCTGACACCACCCATGTCGATCCGAGGTGTGATATCCACCAGGACGAGCGCCGAAAGACCGCCCGGATTTTCCTGCCCTTCGGCAAGCATGCCGGCAAATCCGCCAAGCGAGGCGCCGACAACGACCGGTTTGGCGCGGTGGAGTGCAACGACCTGCCGGGTAACTGCAACAAGGTCGTTGCTGAAATCTTCAAAACTGTAGGTGCCGGATGCAACCCAGTCGCTCTCTCCATGACCACGCTGATCGAGAGAATAGACGGGATGGCCGAGGGTTGCGATCCGCGCAGCCGCAGCCTCCCAGGAATGGCGTGTTTGCCCGCCGCCGTGAAGCAAGATGACAGGTTGATCGCCTTCTCCGTATCTGTCAGCGATCAGCCTGTTCTGTTCAGCCCCCTGAAACTCAACCCGTTTCGGCCCCATGTATTCCTCTGTCATTCTTCGCAAGTTGTACGCCAGCCTCGCAAGGAAGGTCTTACGCGTCGACGTTGTTCAAAAATGCCAGCACGCCCTGTTTGTGAACCTTGTCTCCGACAGCAACCATGTGGTCACGGCCCGGAATTTCCAGGACCTCGGCATGCGGGATGAGATCGGCGAGTTTATGCGGCGAACCGGCAATTTCGTCCTCAGTACCGACTGCAACCAGGACCGGCCTTTCGATCCGTCCGACGTCGTCCTCGCTGATTTTTTGTCTCGACGAGCGCATGCAGGCCGCCAGTGCCTGTCTGTCCGAGCCTGTCTGGTCCGCAAATGCCCTGAAGGCACGTCCGGTGCGATCCCTGATATCCTGAATGCGATCCGTTTCCAGGGCAACTGCGATGGGCTCGGGATCTCCAACACCGGCGACCATGCCATAGCCCAGACCGCTGAAAATCGCCCTGCGAACCCGGTCAGGATGATTGAGCGTCAGAAACGCGGAGATCCGGGCACCCATGGAATACCCCATGACGTCAGCCTGCGGGATTTCTAGATAGTCGAGCAGGTTTCTGGCGTCTTCAGCCATGAGTGGTGCCCCGTAGGCCTCTGGGTCGTGGAATTTTTCACTCTCGCCATGACCCCGGTTGTCGAGCGCAATCACGCGGCGACCGTCCTTGACCAAGAGGTCGACCCATCCCGGATACTGCCAGTTCACCTGCTTGTTGGAAGCAAATCCGTGTATGAGAAGGATCGGATCCCCCTCTCCTTCATCAAGATAGGCGATCCTGACACCATCGACTTCTGCGTGCGGCATGAAACGAAGTAACCCTTACGTAAACGGAAAACACATTTTCCCTTACCTTAAGGGGAGAAACTCCCATTGGCAAAGGAGAAAACGGCTGCGCTGTGCAAATGTCGAAATGCGGCGCTGAACCGCAGTATCCGAGGACTACCTTTTCATTTCACAAGTGATATTGTCACCGAAATTCGGTATCGGGGAAACCCTCCCCACAGGTCAAAGAGGAACGTCACAATGGCGGATCAGGTTGTCCCGCATTTTCAGAACTCCAGCGGGCACGATTCAGTCGCGATCGGCGCACGCGAATTCATGTGCATCGGCGCAAAACCTCCGTTTGATCATCCCCATATCTTTCTGGACATGGGAACCGAAAACGAAATCGTCTGCCCGTACTGCTCAACGCTCTACAAGTTCGATCCAACTTTGAAGGCGGGGGAATCGTCTCCAAACGACTGCAATTGGACGCCTGAAGCCGCCTGAGAAATGAGCGGTTCATGACCGAGACAGACGACGACGCCCTGACACCCATCGTCATCGCCGGTGGCGGCATTGGCGGATTGACCGCCGCGCTGGCGCTCCGGCAGCAGGGACACAATATCGTGCTCCTGGAAAAGGCAAATGAGATTTCCGAAGTCGGCGCGGGTCTGCAGCTTTCGCCGAACGCCTGCTCGGTTCTGCAAAGACTGGACGTCTTGAAGGATCTCGAGGCGTTCGCCTACGCGCCTGACGGACTCAGGATCTGGTCCGGAGAAAACGGCAAGCAACTTGCCAGGGTTGAGCTCGGAAAATTCATCAGGGAACGGCACGGCAATCCGTTTTGGGTCATTCACAGGGCTGATCTTCAACGGGTTTTGCTTGATCGGGCTCAAAAAACGCCGGGGATCACGATACGCCTGTCTTGCGAGGTGCAGGACCTCACACCATCGCCTTATGATCATCTGGTCTGCATTTACCGCCTTGGTGAAGAGACCGCAAACCAGAAGTGCAAGGCCTTGATCGGAGCCGATGGCGTGTGGTCCAGGACCAGGCGTCATGTACCGGGCCACGTGAATGCCCGGTTCAGCGGACAGGTTGCCTACCGTGCGACGGTGCCAATCGACCAGGTGGATGCCAAGTTCGCGCGCGACAGCGGTCTTTGGCTACACAGGAATTCACACCTGGTTCATTACCCGATAAGGGGTGGCAGAGAGCTCAATATTGTCGCGCTTGCCCGGGAGGACTGGAGCGACGAAACCTGGTCGGCGAAGGCCGACAAGGACGCTGTATTGCGGGTCTTCAAGGACTGGCCGGCTGAAACCAGAAACCTGCTCAGCAAGCCGGAACGCTGGCTGAAATGGGCGCTTTGCAGCGTCGATGGGTCTGGCCCCTGGACACACGGGCATGTGGCGCTGATGGGAGACGCCGCGCACGCGATGCTTCCCTTCATGGCGCAAGGTGCCGCAATGGCGATCGAGGACGCAGCCATTCTGGCAAAACATTTGCCGAAGAATGTTCAGAACATTCCATCCGCTCTCAGGTCGTTTGAAAGGGACCGGAAACCCCGTGCCAGCCATATCCAGGGAATATCGCGCGGCAACGCTCGGACATTTCACTACTCGGGTCCAATGGCCTTCGCGCGCGACACTGTTCTCCGGCTCACGAAGCCGAAAAGTCTGGCGGCACGTTTCGATGACATTTATGGCTGGACTCCTGAGCAATAATCCGTCTTTGGCTTGAGCTGAAATGAAAGCTGCGATAAAGCGGGTTCCCAATCGGATTTCAGGGAGTGCGATGATGACCGGTCAGAAGGCAGATGACATTGTGACCGCCGCGTTCCTGGTTATCGGTGACGAGATTCTGTCCGGCCGCACCAAGGACAAGAATATCGGCTTCGTTGCTGACTACATGACCTCCCTTGGAATCGATCTGAAAGAGGTTCGGGTTGTTCCGGACGAGCAGGACCAGATCGTCGCGGCGGTCAATGCACTGCGGACAAAGTTCAACTACGTGTTCACGTCCGGCGGCATTGGTCCGACCCATGACGATATCACCGCCGAAAGCGTGGCGGCAGCCTTCGATGTACCTTTGAATCTCGATCCGCGCACCGTCGCGATCATGGAAAAACACTATGAGCCCGGCCAGTTTACGCCGGCACGTCAGCGCATGGCGCGTATTCCCGAGGGAGCGGACCTCATCGAAAACAAGGTGTCCAAGGCTCCCGGATTCAGGATTGAAAACGTGCATGTCATGGCCGGCGTCCCGTCCATCATGCAGGCCATGCTGGACGCCATTGCACCGACCCTGACAACCGGGCGCAAGATGCTGTCCAGGACTGTTGCCGCCGACATGCCAGAAAGCCGCATCGCCGACAGGCTGGCTGCCATTCAGGATGCACATCCTGAAACCCTTATCGGATCCTACCCGAACGCATCTGACGGCAAGTTCACAACCCAGATCGTTATCAGGTCGCGCGACGAGGCAATCCTGACGGCCGCGGCTCAAGACGTGGCACAGGCCGTTGCAGAGTTGCTGGGATCATAAAGAGCGAGAATGACAATGGAAAATTCCACCCAAAACAAGGCTTTCCCGGTTTCATGGGACATGTTTCACCGGGATTCCCGCGCTTTGGCCTGGCGGTTGTCGAGCGAAGGTGAATGGAAGGCTATTGTCTGCATCACGCGAGGTGGACTGGTTCCTGCTGGAATCGTCGCCCGCGAGCTTGGTATCCGGACGATTGAAACGGTCTGCATCGCCTCATATCACGACTATGAAAATCAGGGGCAACTGAAGGTCATCAAGCCAGTCGACCCGAAGGTCGTCGATCTGGAAGATGGTGAAGGCAGTGGTGTCCTTGTGATCGATGATCTGGTCGACACCGGAAAGACATTGAAAGTCGTACGAGAAATGCTTCCCAAGGCCCACTACGCAACGGTCTACGCAAAGCCTGTGGGTGTTCCGATGGTTGACACTTTCATCACAGAAGTATCCCAGGACACATGGATCTATTTCCCGTGGGACATGGGCTGGCAATTCCAGCCGCCGCTTTCAAAAGACACGGCCGGTTGATCGGCATAACAGTTCTTTTGCGTTTGTTCTTTCCTTGCGCGGTCCAGAGCCGGAAAAGCTGCAGTTGAGTACCGGTCCGGATGCAGACCTTGCGGCCTTGACCAGGAAGGTCAAGGCGCAAGTTGTATCGGCAAATCAGCCGATCAGGGTCTTCAGCGCGCGCGGGTCCGTTTCACCGGAAGTCCACCCGAATTCGAACCGTTTGGCTTGATCCTTGAAGCCTTGAACGGGGTCAGCTTGACACCGCCATGATTGGCGCAGGCGACCTCGGCACTGATGGCATCGTCCTTGCCGAAATCGTAGATCGTTCCGTCCGCACACTCAACAACGTGGCTGCCGGCCTGTGCCGTCGTCGGCAGAACTGTAAAGGCAAGGCTCGCGGCTGCAACGGCGCCAAGAAGATTCATGTTCAGTTTCATTTCAGTCTCCATCTGTTGCGTCAGTTTGATTGCTGACAACCGACAGATGGGAACCGGACATTTCAACCGTGCATCGGCGCAGGTCTCAATTGTATCGGCCCAGGGCAACACTGATACATTCAGGACAAACAACAATCGCAGTGCGCCAATCCCGGTACAAATCGGATCAAACCTGAAAACCGGAAGCTATATCTCGATATTGACTGTACGGACGGCTTCGATACCGTCCAGCGTCACATCGCACCCGATCGCGTATGTGTTGACGCCCGCCTCCCGCGCAGCCGCAAAGGCAGACGCGTAGGCTGGGTCAATGTCCGAGGCAAGGCTGAGCCGGTCGCAATCGGGTCGCTGAACCAGGAAAACCATCGCGGCCCCATGTCCTTCAGCAACCATATCAGCGAGCTCGGCCAGGTGTTTCGCACCGCGTGCCGTGACACTGTCCGGGAATTCGGCAAGTCCTGCCTGACGCATCAAGTGGACATTCTTCACCTCGACATAGGTCTTTTTGCCGTTCCCGTCTTCAAGCAGAATATCAATGCGCGAGTTCTTGCCGTACTTCACTTCCCGGCGCAGGGTCTCGTATCCGGAAAGCGCTTTGATGCGGCCGGCCTCGATCGCCTCTTCCACCAGCCTGTTCGGATGCGCGGTGTTGATACCGACGAGCGCCCCGTCTGCCTCGATGATTTCCCAGGAGTATTTGAGTTTGCGCTTCGGATTGTCCGACTGTGACAACCATACCCTTGATCCCGGCTCCTTCAGTCCGAGCATAGAGCCCGGATTGGCGCAGTGAGCCGTGACCTCGCTACCGTTTTCGTCCAGAACGACATCGGCCAGAAAACGCTTGTAGCGCTTGACAAGACGTCCGCTGGCAAGCGGTGCTGCAAATTTCATTTCGTGATCCTCACGAGCAATAATGGCTGTTTTTCGGCGAAGTTATTTCGACCAGAAATCCGGATCCAGCAGGACAAGGACGGTAAAGAGTTCGAGTCTGCCGACAAGCATGGCAAAGGAGAGCAGCCATTTGGCACCGTCCGGCAGCGGTGCGAAATGTCCAGCCGGACCGATGACAGGACCAAGGCCCGGCCCCACGTTGCCCACCGACGTTGCAGCGGCCGAAATCGCGGTTACGAGATCCAGGTCAAAAAAGGAAAGTGCCACGGTGATGATGCCGACCGACCCCATATAGACTACGAGGAAAGCAAGGACCGAAAAAGAGAGCTCCGGCGTCAGGCGCGTCCCGGCGTATTCTTCGGACATGATGCGGTGTGGACGTACCATCCTCCGCAAATGCGCGCGCACAGTACCGAAAAACACCAGGAAGCGGAAAATCTTGATACCGCCGGTCGTTGAGCCGGTGCAGCCGCCGACAAACATCAGCAAAAAAGCAATTCCGACGACCGGGGCGCCCCATTGGGTGAAATCTCCCAGAGCGTAACCGGTTCCCGTGACGATCGAGACGACATTGAACGTTGAGCGCAACAAGGCTTCCTCGAACGGAAAGCGCATGTTGATGCCGAGATAAACCGTAAGCGTCAGTGACACGAGTGCAAGAAATCCCAGCAGCGCACGCACTTGCGGGTCCCGCCACAACTGCAAAGGACGTCCGCGAAGAGCCTGAATGAGCAGAACGAATGGCATCGCGCCGACAATCATGAACAGCACCGCTACCCAGCCTGACGCAGGATTCTTGAAATACCCGAATGACTGGTCATGCGTGGAAAACCCGCCGGTCGCAATCGTTGTCAGGGCATGGTTGAAGGCATCGAATAGCTCCATGCCGGTTGCCAGGTAAGCCGCTATGCAAAGAACGGTCAGGAACAGATAGGCCAGGCCGATCAGGCGGATCAGTTCAACCGACCGGCTGACAATCTTTTCCGATCGGTCGGAACTCTCGCTCTGAAACAGCTGCATTCCGCCGATCCTCAGGAACGGCAGCAGAACGATCGCCATGACGATAATGCCGACACCGCCCATCCATTGCAGCATGGAACGCCAGACGAGCAGCCCTGGCGGCAACCCGTCAAGACCGGTGAGAACCGTCGATCCGGTTGTCGTGAAGCCGGAAACCGCCTCGAATACCGCGTCGGCATAACCGATGCCAAGCCACAGGAAAGGCAATGCACCGAAGGCCGGCAGCGATGCCCAAGAAAGTGTGGTGAGAATGAAGGTCTGCCGAGTGTCGAGTCCTTCGCGAAGCGAACCGCCGACCGCGAGCGACAGCAGCATCCCTATCATTCCCGTCAGGAGTGCGGAAAAGACAAAGGCCTGCCAGTCGGCGTTCTTCTGGGCAACGTCAACGATGGCGGGAATGAGCATGGCGGTCGCAAGACCGACATACAAGAACCCGAGAACATTCAAAACTGGTCTGAGAGAAATCAAGCAGAACTCGTCCCGAACACCGTTTCACCAAAAGGCACGGACGCCCGTCTTGGACGCCAGCTCACCGTCGTAGCGCTTTTCTGCCTGATTTCCAATGGTATCGATCAACCTTCCCCCGAAGATCGCTTGTCCGGAGGCTCAGGCACCAATGCCCATCGGTGTGAATTTGCCGGTAATCCAGACGCGTGCGAACCGGTTCGGCTGACTGCCACCCCATTTCTGATTACTGCTTCGCTTCGGCAATCATGTGCCAGTGCCAAGACCCGGGTTTGCGGTGTTCCTTGTCTTCAAGATAGCTGAGTTCGAAATCGTCGAAGAGGTCGACCAGCTCCGCGGCACAACAATAAAAATGCGGGTGGTTCTTGTCGTCCTCGCCATCCTTGACCCATGTGTCAGGGGCGATTTCCCTCCCGATCCCGAAATTGGAATTTCGCTTGGAAAGCATCGTGCCCTGATAAATTCCACCCGGTTTCAGCACCCGTGCTATTTCCGAGATCGCCTTTTGGACCACCGTCGGATCTCCGTGATAAATCACATTGAAGGAAAGAACGTAGTCGAATGTCCCACTTTCAAAGGGCAATTCGGTCATCGGGGCAAGATGCGTGGCAATATTCAAACCGCCGGCATTTGCGCTTTCCTGCAGTTGTGCCAAACCCGCTTCGGAAAGATCAATTGCATGGGTTTCAAAGCCGGCACGGGCGAAGGCCAGCGCGTGGCGACCTACGCCGCATCCAATATCCAGCGCTCTCGTCCGCTCGGCTTGCTGAAATTTGCCGATGAGCGTGGAAACGCCCTCGTTCGCTCGTAACCAGTCCGCACGCCCTTCTTCGGTTTGCCAGCGCTTTTCCCATGCCAGGTGTGCGGTATCAGTCTTTTCTGTAGGAAAAACATTGCTCATCGGGGTGTTCCTTCAAGAATCCTGTTGCGGGCGATGCTACCCAAACGTTCAACACAGAGAACCAGAACGAAGATCATCAGGATAATGGTCATCGCGAGCTGGTAATCAAAGAAATCCATGGCGACCTTCAGTTCAATGCCGATTCCACCAGCACCGACCAGTCCCAGCACCACCGACGAACGGGTCGCCTTTTCCAGGGCAAACAGAGACGTTGTTATGAAGGACGGCATGGCAGCCGGTACCACCGCACAAAAGATCGTATCGAGTTTGCTGGCCCCGGCCGCAGTCAGGGCCTCGCTGGGTCCCTTCTCGACGTCCTCCATGGACTCGGCAAAAAAACGACCGCAGAACCCGACGGTGTCGACCGCAATCGCCAGGGTGCCGGCAAAGGGTCCCAGGCCTACCGTAATCACGAAGACCAGCGCCCAGACCAGGTCCGGGACCGTCCGAAAGAAAGCGATCAGCAGCCGCGAAGACGAATAGAAAATTCTGGAGATAGGTGTGTGCCGCGACAGGCCCTTTGCAGCCAGGACCGCGAGTGGCAGGCTGACAACAACGCCGATAATCGTACCGGCAAGCGCCATCTGGAAGGTTTCGAGCAAAGCCGCGGAAATTTGAGGGAGCCGCTCCATAGATGGTGGCCAGGCGCGCGACAGGAAATCGGCCATGGCAGGGCCACCGGACAATATCGCGGAAAATGACCACCCTGCTCCCTGAAAGGACAAGAAGACGAAACCCACGAGCAACACGTAGGCACAGAACTGGAAGACGCCGGGGCGCTTGAACCGTCCTGGAAGTTCCTCGCCGCGGGGGCGTCCGGTATCAGCCATAATGCTTGCCCAAATCCGACAGGGAGAGTGTGTTGCTCGCCGCATCCAGAACAATGGTTCCCCGCCTGATCGCAATCACCCGGTCCGAGTAAGCCAACGCCTGTTCAACATTGTGGGACGTGAACAGCAACGTGATCCCTTTTTCCTGTGTCAGCTGATGAAAGAGCTCCATCACCTCTTGTCCGGCAATCGGATCAAGGCTCGCCACCGGCTCGTCGGCAACAATCATCCGGGGCTCCTGCATCAGGGCCCGCGCGATGGCAACGCGTTGGGATTGGCCGCCCGACAGCTGGTCGGCCCGTTTCATCGCCTGGTCAGCCAGACCGACACGGTCCAGACAACTCATGGCCCGTTCGCGCAGCGCTGTGCTTGCAAACAACTGCGACCAGCCCCGCATACCGCCAACACGACCGAGATTGCCGTGAAGCACGTTTGACAGCGCTGAAATACGCGGGACAAGGTTGTGTTTTTGAAAGACAAACCCGACATCCGCACGCACCTTGCGAAGACGGCTAAGGTGCATTGACGTGATCTCATCATCAAAAAGGTGTACCGACCCGTCGTCAGGCTCGATCAGCCGAAGTGCACATCGTAGAGCGGTCGACTTTCCAGCACCGTTGGATCCGATAAGAGCGACGGATTCCCGACGATGCACCGAGAAAGAAATACCGTGAAGAATGCCCTTGTCCTTGCCGAATGATTTGACGAGACCCGAGACAGAAAGCTCTCGAACACTTTCCGCCGCGGAGGTGCGGGATATCGTCACCGGCGCTTCCACGCCGGAGACCTGAACCTGGGCTTGCGCCATTATTCGCCGATGAATCTGTCGTATTGCGGGAAACCCGCAGTGGTGTACATCGACCGGACGATGTCATAGGCACCGTCTTTGATCGCTACGAGATCCATTCCAGAATACTTGTCGTTCTCCTCATGCTGAAGGATCGCCTTGATAATGGTATCCTTGTTGTCGAGGATTGCTTCCCGCACGCCATCAACGGTCGCCGTATCAACATGCGAGCCCACCATAAGCATGTCGTTCGGCAGATCACCGGAACGCGCGATGATCCGGAAAAAGCCGTTTGGTATGCTTTCATCCTTGTTGCGCACGCGGATCCAGGAATTGTGGTTCGTGCCCATGCCCGCGATTTCACCTTTTTTCAGCGCTTCATGCGCAATGTTGCGGGACGTGTGGAGCCTTTCGACATCCTTGACCGGATCGATGCCGTAATCCGCCATCAGCTGCATCGGGCAAAGCATGTTCGACGTCGAACCGATATCGCCGAAAACAACCTTTTTTCCCTTAAGGTCTGCTGGACGGGTAATGCCGCTGTCGGCACGCACGACGATTGCGCAGAAATAGTCCGGACGACCAAGACCGATAAGCGGTGCTGCATCCGTCAGCTTGTTGATGACGATGTATTCTGCCGGACCGGTAACGACAAAATCCACCTGCTGCGCCCGCAACGCTTCCGCGGCGGCCGTACGGCTGGTGACCGGAAAAAACTCAAAGGTGTGATCAGTTGCCTTATCAAGAGCCTCTTTGAACGGACCCCATTCAAGCTGAAGCCGCTCCAGCCCCTCCACGTCGGTGACGGCAAGCCTGAACGTGTCGGCAAATGAAGATGAAACGGTAATCACAAGTGCAGCTGCCGCAAGCGCAGCGGATCTAAGGAAACGCATTTTAGGAACTCCCCAACAGACCGACAGAATTTCGGTCAAGCTGTTGGAGTCTAACCACCGCAACGCCACTGGATGTGAAACAAATATGTAGTTTTTACGAATTTATTCGGGACGATAACACGCAAGAAATCTCATTAGTTCAGCTGTTGCGCAATATTGTCCATTTATTACTTTGCCTTGTTTCTTTCATGGCAAATAAATTTGATATCGATGTCACAAAAAATCACAAAAGTATAATCGTATAGACATCTGAATTTGGAAAAATATTGCTAGTTGCCTCCCGGTTTCGTGGAGGTCCTTATGCTGGTTGTCGAGCAGTTATCTAAAGTTTTTGGTGATCTGACCGCCGTTGATGGCGTTTCACTGGCGATCCCGAAGGGTCAGATGGTCGGCGTCATCGGCCGGTCGGGAGCCGGCAAGTCCACTTTGCTCCGCATGATCAACCGTCTGACAGATCCGACAAGAGGATCGATCGACAACGAGGGACAGGATGTTACCGCCCTCAAAGGCCACGACTTGCGCCTTTGGCGTGCTTCCTGCGCCATGATCTTTCAACAATTCAATCTGATCGACCGGATGGACGTTCTGACCAATGTCATGGTCGGCAGGATAGCTCATACCGGTTTCGCAAGATCCATGCTTCGCTCGTTTACAGACCAGGATCGTGTTCGGGCGATCCAGGCGCTCGATCGGCTTGATCTGGTTCCACAGGCATTGCAGCGGGCAGGCACTTTGTCCGGCGGACAACAACAGCGCGTCGCAATTGCCAAGGCCTTGGTCCAGAACCCCAGCATCATGCTCGCAGACGAGCCAATCGCATCTCTTGACCCGGCAAATGCCGTTCGGGTGATGGAAGCACTCAGGTCTATCAACCGTACCGATGGCCTGACCGTTCTGGTCAACCTGCACACACTCGACACGGCACGAAGTTACTGCGACCGCATCGTCGCCATGAAGGATGGCAGGGTTCATTTCGATGGCGCGCCCAGGGCCCTGACGACGGAAAAGGTGCGCGCAATCTACGGAACGGATGATCTGAGCGACGAGATCAATGAGGCGGTGACTTCCACCTCCCTTCAAACAGGTTCCTGCCGACCACGAAGGCAGGCGGTCGGGACCTGACACCTGAGCGAACCGAAGCACGTTTGCGTCAATCGAGCGGCTGCGGCCGCGTGTACCAGCCGTTCCATACGGCAAGCATGGAGTACTATGATGAAGGCTATTTTCGCAGCAGCAGTTTGGACGACCATTCTCGCGGCCTCCCCGGCCCTCTCCGAAAGCTGGAAGGATCAGTACAAGACCATCAAGTTCGGCATCCTGTCCGGTGAAAACGAAAAGGATCGGATCGCCCGCTATACGCCGTTTGAAAAATATCTTGAAAACCAGCTTGGCGTCGAAGTCGAGATCTTCACCGCCGGATCCTATGACGGTGTCATCCAGGCCATCGCTGCAGACCAGATCGAGTTCGCGTTTTTTGGCTCATCGTCCTACGCGGCTGCATACACGGAGACCAACGGTGGTGTTGTTCCGCTTGTCTCGCGTCTGCAGAAAGACGGTTCGACAGGCTACTTTTCCGTTATCGCCGTACGCTGTGACAGCGGCCTGAGCTCGCTGGAGGACTTGAAGGGCAAGACACTCGCATTCGCAGACCCTGATTCCACATCCGGCTATGCTGTCCCCTATTTCAACTTGAGCAAACAGGGCTACGATCCGAAAACCTATTTCGGTGCAACACCGTTTTCCGGAGCGCACGAAACCGGTGTCCTGGGGGTCTACAACAAACAGTATGACGCGGCGGCCACCTACATCACCAATGAAACCAACGGCATTCCGCAACGCATGGTCACCAAGGGCATGATCGATGAGGGTTCAATCTGCACCATCTGGAAGTCCCCGGAAATAACCTCCGGCCCGCTTGCTGCCCGTGCCAACCTGCCGGAAGACATGATCGCGGACATGCGCAAGACGGTCATGGACATACCGGAAAACGATACGCTCGCCTTCATCGAAATGACCGGCGGCAAGGATTCCACTCAGGACGGCTGGATCAAGGTAGATCACGACCGGTACCAGTGGATCGTCGATATGCGCGACTGGCTGAAGATACAGCGCCGCGGTGGCTGATCTGATCCTGCCAGATGGCGCCTCGGGCGCCATCTGCCCATTGTTGAAAACGGGTCCAGCAATGACGGCACTTTCTCCGGCCATCGAACAATTTGAGATCAACTACGCGGCCGCGCGGAAATCGGCGCTGCGAACGAGCCGTCTGTCGATAATTCTGTTCGCAGCCTGCTTCCTTGGAGCGTCGTGGATCGGCGGCTTCTTTGACATGACCGATGTGACGCTTCCCGACGGCACCCGCGTGTCCATGTGGAAGATTTGGGCCGGCTTGCCGCGCCTCGGCGAATACCTCTACAAAACGCTGCCGGTGCTGCACTGGGAAACGCTCGGAACGGATATCGCCAACTGGTTCTGGCGCTGGAAGGTCTGGCTTGAACTCTTGATCGAAACGATCCTGATTGCCTATATGGCAACGTTTCTGGGTGTAATCGGCGCCTTTTTGCTTAGTTTTCCGGCGTCCCGCAACCTGGCTCCAAATGACTTCGTTCTCAACGCGACCAGACGATATCTGGAAATCGTGCGAACGGTTCCCGAACTGGTCTGGGCCCTGATATTCGTGTTTTGCTTTGGTGTTGGCCCCCTGGCGGGCGTCCTCGCAATCGGGCTCCACGCGACCGGAGCACTCGGCAAACTTTATTCCGAAGCCAATGAAAATGCCGACATGCGGCAGGTCGAAGGCATCAAGGCGTCCGGCGGATCCTGGTTTGATCAGGTTCGGTACGGGATCGTGCCCCAGGTCGTTCCCAACATCATCAGTTACACGTTGCTACGTTTCGAAATCAACGTGCGCGCCTCATCCATCATCGGCTTTGTCGGCGCAGGAGGGCTTGGACAGGAAATCCGTGTCGCGATGTCCTTGCAGGAATACACCGATCTTTCTGCGCTCTTCCTGATCATATTCGTGACCGTGATCCTGATCGACACGATCAGCGAAAAAGTCAGGCACCGCATCATCGGCCTCACAGGCCAGGGAGTGTAACATTGGAAAAGGTCACTCGGGATCTCGACACGGCGCGTCGCCAGGTGCCTGGCGCATTTGATTCACCGCGCAAGAAAAGGCTGATCCACGCAGGTGGCTGGACTGCCTTCGCGCTGCTGACATGCTGGTGCCTTTGGGCCTTCGACTTCTCCCCGTCACGTATCGTGAACGGGATCACACGTTTCGGCGGGGTCCTTTCCTTCATGTTTCCGCCCCACATCTGGGAGACCTGGGGCGAATGGCAGGAAATTCTGAAAGGGCTCGGTGAAACGGTCGCAATGGCCTTCATGGGCACATTTCTGGGGGCAATCGTTGCATTTCCTCTCGCGTATCTGGGTGCAAAAAACATTATGCCGGTATCGTGGTTCCGGCTCGGTGTCCGACGCGGCTTCGATAGCCTCCGCGCGGTTGAACAGATTATACTGGCCTTGATTTTCATCCGCGCTTTCGGTCTTGGTCCACTCGCCGGTATTCTTGCAATTGCCGTGTCCGAAGTGGGAACACTCTCGAAACTGTTTTCGGAAGCCATCGAGAACACGTCGAAAAAACCCGTTGATGGCGTGAGAGCGTCCGGGGCCGGAAATCTGCAGACTATCCGTTTTGCAATTCTGCCCCAGGCCCTGCCGGTGATCCTGTCGATCATCCTCTACAATTTTGAGTCCAACACCCGTTCCGGTACGATCCTGGGCATTGTCGGTGCCGGAGGTATTGGGTTCCTGCTTGCAGACCGCATAAGCGCCTACCGTTGGCCGGAAGCCTGGACAATCATTTTTCTGATTATCGTCACGGTATATCTGATCGACGGCTTTTCCGGATTTTTACGTCAGCGTGTCATCGGCGCGAAAGAAAGTGGCAGGGTATGAAAACGTTCAATCCGGGCTCCGGCATGAAGGGGCCCCGGCCCTCCACATCATTCCAGCCGGATTGACCAACAACGGGTTAAAGAAATCCGGTCGGTTACCTCGCCGCTGTCCCGGATTTGATCCAGGACCTCGTTCGTCCAGATCCATTGCCCCGGCGCTAGACCTTGGCAGCATTTTCATTGAAGACGATTACTCCGTGATTTCCAGGGGCAGGCCCTGCATTGGCTGCGGCAGTTGAAATTCCTTTCAACGCAGCGACGGATTCCTCTCAGTGAACCCGACGCCCCTTCAGCCAGGCCATCTTGACGAAAGGATGCCTGTCGTGAAGAGCGACATGCAAGAGGTCCGCACGTTTGCCGACCGCTATTTCGCCCCTGTCATCAAGACCGGAAACTTCTGCTGGCGTCCCGCTCACCATCCGGATCGCCGCGGGCAGGTCTTCCTTGAAACTCGCGTCTGCGGCGATCATGAAGGCACCGTCCAGCAATGACCTCGGCACGTAGTCGGACGCCAGAATGTCAACCAGGCCTTCCGCCATCAGATCGCTCACCGCGACGTTTCCGGATTGCGACCCGCCTCGCAGCACATTCGGCGCGCCTCCGACCACGCACATCTGATGCGCTTTCGCCTTGCGTGCGGCTGCCAGCGTGCAAGGAAACTCGGAAACCGTAATGCCTTCGGACAATGCCTCATCGACGTGATGAAGCTCCGTATCATCGTGACTGAGCAAAGGCAGCTTGTGCGCATGCGCAAGTGAAATCACGGCAGGGCGGACCTTTTCGCTGATTTCGTCTGAATGATTCAACAGGTTCTGCGTGGTTCTTTCCGCTTCGGCGCGGGACTCTCCGGTATCTGCCATTCTGCGTTGCGTGTAGGCTTCGATATTCTTGCTCTGGCGGCGGCCCGGAAGATGTTCCATCACCGAAATCATGCGAACAATGGACTTACCTATATTTTCTTCCGTTAGCCGCGCCGTTTCGGCATCCGTGATCTCGCAGCGAAGATGGACCATATGCTCGGCTCGGAACATGCCGGCAGCCTGCCCTTTTTCCAGAGCATCAACCATCGGTGCGAGAACTTCACGACGCTCCGGTCTGGAGACCGTTGCACCGACACAGAGACTGTCGAAAACCGTCGTGATACCGCTGCCGATAATCTGCGCGTCATGGGCGAGCGCCGCTCTGAGCGGATCCCAACGCACATGGGCGCGTGGATAAACATGCTTCTCGAAATGGTCGGTATGAATGTCGACAAGCCCGGGGATCAGGTAATCTCCGTCGAGGTCCTGCCCTGCCTGCGGCGCCAAGCCGGTATCGATGGAAACGATACGTCCATCGGAAATCGCAACATGACCCGTTACGACCTGGTCCACCAGGACGATCCGTGCATTTTTGAGAACAGTCAGTTCACTGCCGGTTGGCAGTGTCTTGTCGGCAAACGTCATGGGTCACTCCGGCGTGGAAACTCCCCGGAAAATACCCGGGCATCTGCAGCTTATATCAGGAAGGAGACCTTCTACCTCCAAATTGGCCGCACATTGTGACAGTTTCTCGAAGAGACTGTGACACTGGAAGTAACAGCAGAGCGATGCTACAGCGAGCGCGGTGCGCCTGTTACCGGACGCGCCAAATATCCAATGAGATTGTTCGCCGATTTGGTTTATCCCAATTGTGAAAGCGTCGCCTATCGCACCATCGTCAACCGGTTCCAATCGGCATAATCCGGCGAGCCTTCGCGGCGAACTTCACCCTGATAGCCATATTCGACAAGATGCACCATGACCGACGTCTCGCTGGCCAGAATGACGGAATAGCATTCGTTGAGATCAGACGCGCTCAGGTTCGTTTCATTGGCGAAATCCGGCCAGCCGGCGTGGTTTGTCCCGCGCGGTGCACTGAAGGGAACACCATGGAAGGATCCCGAAAGCGGCAGATGACAGTGTCCGTGGAAGATATGCCGGATCTTGGCACGATGTTTTTCAACGACGTTCCCGAATTCCTCCGCATCCTGCAACATGATCTTGTCCATCGGTGCAATTCCCGTTGGCACCGGATTGTGATGCATGAACAGGAACACAGGACCGGCCGTTTCGTTCAGTCTTTCATCCAGCCAGCTCCTGCGGGTTTCGCAATAGTAACCGGCATGGGAATTGGCGCCCCAGGTGTCCAGGAAAATTGCCTGTCCGACGGGGAGGTCCAGGACGGATTGCACAAACCCGTTGTCGTCGACCAGATCAGGAAAAACGGACACGAACACATCGCGTTCGTCGTGGTTGCCGATACATAGGTGAACGGGCACGGATAACCCGGAAATCGTTTCCTTGAGCCGAAGATAATCTGCACGATCACCCCAGTCGGAAAGATCACCTGTTATGACCAGCGCGTCGGCATCCGGATGATGCGTGAGCGCGTGACCAAGCGCTTTCCTGAAATTGTCGTTCGGCTCGCGCCCTCCGATCGTTTCGCCGGGCGCGGTCAGATGGATATCCGTGAGTTGAAGAAGTTTCACCTCTTCCTCCAATTATTGTAATGACAGGACCACTGCCCGTCGAAACGGGCAGCGGTGAATTTTTTGGGAGCGATCCGCCTAGCTGCCGGACGGAAGCAGGTCCTCAACTTCTTCCGAAAGCTCTTGCTGCAATTCGCCCATGTCTTCGTATTCGCCGGTGACGATACCTTCGATACCATCATAGATCACCTGCGTGATCGCCAGCCCGTTGTCGCCCGGGTAGGCCTGCCAGTCACGCAGCAGCGGCAACTGGCGAACAGCGGTTTCCTTGTTCGGGTTCTGCTTGTAGAAATCCGCCAGGATCACTTCGTTGGCTGCCTTGTTCGGCGGCATGTAGCCGGTGGTGCGGGCCACATCGGCGGCGCCTTCACCGGAGGTGATGAATTTCAGCCACTTCCAGGCCGCATTCAAAACTTTCGGATCTTCGCTTGTGGACACCAGCATGGCCGCATTGCCACCGGCGGGCAGACCTTTCGGACCGCTTGCTTCCAGCCCGGGAAATTCGTTTGTTTTAAGTTCGAATTCACCCTTGGCGCGCTCAACCGCCCCAAGCGCGGATGTCGACCAGAACATCATGCCGATTTCACCGGCGGAGAACGATGCAAGTGCCGCTTTCCATTCAATGTTCTGCATGTCGCAACCACGAAACAGGTTCTTCATCGTCTCGAAGGACTTCAATCCTTCCGCCGAAGAAATCTGGATCGCATTGCCTTCCATGGTTGCCTTGTCCTGGGACCACATCAGTGCCTGCAGGAACCAGTTCCCGGTAATGTTCCATCCCCAGAACATCGGGTTTCTGACGCCGGCCTCGTGCAGCTTGCCGCATACCTCGACGACTTCGTCCCAGGTTTTCGGGAGTTGGTCCATGGACGTGATCCCGGCTTTCGCCATCACGTCCATGTTGTAGTAACCGACCGGCAGAGAGACCGAAAACGGCAGGCCGTAGATGTCGTCGTTGAACGTGCCGAGTGCCAACATGGCATCGTGATAGCCGTCCTTGGCGAAGTCTTCCTCTTTGAGGATGAACGGCTCGAGCGGTTTGGCGATGCCTTTTTCGACGAGGATCGCCTGACGGTTCAAACCCTGCATCGTCACGTCAGGAAGGGTACCGGCGACCGCCTCGCGCAGGATCGTGTTCGTCCCGTCTTCATAAGATTCGTAGGTGGCGCGCATCTTCACGTCGATATTCGGATGCTGCTCCTTGAACTTGGGAAGGATTTTCTCGTACGTCACGTCGAACAAGTGGCTGTACGGATAGGCAAACTCGATTGTTATCGTGTCTTCCGCCTGCGCAGCCGAGGCCGTCAGCAGCATTGCTATTGCGGTGAGGGTCTTATTCATGGAACTCTCCATCTGTTGCCGTGGGAACGGCTGGTCGCCAAACTCGTCCGTTCCCAAGTGATCCCCGAAACGGGATTCAGGTGATGGGACCGCCGGATGGCGGTCCCGCAAATTGTTGGGATCATTTCATCCCCGACAGTGTGATGCCTTCAATGAAGCGGCGCTGTGCGATCAGGAACGCCACGATCAGCGGTGCGACAATGATTGTCGCCGTTGCCATCATCGGTCCGAAATTGTCGCCATCCGCGTCACCCTTGAACTCGCGCAGACCGAGTGGCGGCGTGAACAGAGACCGGTCACCGGTGACGACAATGCGCGGCCAGAAATAGTCATTCCAGTGAGCGACCACCGAGAAGATTGCAAACGCCAGCAGCGCCGGAATAGCAGTGGGAAGCATCACGTTCCAGATAATCGAAAACTCGCTCATGCCATCCATGCGCGCAGCGTCGATCAGGTCGTCCGGCACGGTCATGAAGAACTGCCGCATCAGGAAAATTCCGAAAACCGAAATCGTCCAGGGAATGATCAGCGCGGCATAAGTGTTCGTTAGTCCGACCTTGGCGAGCATGATGTATAGCGGCAGCGCAATGGCGTGAACCGGAATGAGCAGACAGAAGAGAACAAGGCCGAATATGGCTTCCCTGCCCCAGAACCGCAGTTTCGAAAGGGCATAGGCACAAGGCAGGGCAACCAGGACCTGAATGAGAAAGATGGACACTGTCACGACCACGCCATTGAAGAGATACCGCAGGAGTGGCGCTTTCTCGAAAGCAGTGGTGTAGTTGTAAATAACCGGCGTCACCATGCAATCCACGGCGTCCTTGCCAAGCTTGATGCAATAGTCGTCCCTGAACAGCTCCTGCATCCCGAAGAAACCGCCTGTGTTCTGCATGATTTCGGCCGGGCTTTTGAAGCTGTAGCTGAGCATCACGTAGAACGGCAGCAGCACGATTACGCTTCCCGCGATCAGCACGATATGTTTCAGGGTCTCGGCACCTGAAAAACGGAATGCAGGCAAGGCACCCGCACTGACTGCCGTTTGAGTTGTCTCACTCATGTGTAGTGCACCCTTTTTTCCACCAACCATCGCTGTGCCAACGTCAGGAACATCACGAAAGCCAGGAACACGACCGTGATTGCCGCCCCGATCCCCATCAGGTTTTGCTGGATCGCTTTTTCGTAGATCGCGAACATCATGACGTAGACCGATTTGGACGGCCCTCCACCCTGCGGATAGAAGGCTTCAACGGTGTCGAAAACCTGAAACGATCGGATGAATGAAATCGTGACGACAAAGACGGTTGTCGGTCCGAGCATCGGCCATGTCACGAGCCGGAACCGGTCCCAGGCTGTCTCTGCGCCGTCCATCTCCGCCGCGTGGTAAAGTTCGCGCGGAACGGATGTCAGGCCGGCGAGATAGAGCACCATGTTGAAGCCGAAACCCTGCCAGATGCCGATAAAGGCAACGGTCCAGATCGCATAGTCCCGGTCCGTCAGCCAGAGCGGGAAACCGCGTTCGCACCCTTTGGCGTACCAGTGCCATGTCTCCAGAAATGAACCGCACCCGCGCTCAAGCGTCGAATTGACAATGCCGATGGTCGGGTGGAAGGCGAATTCCCAGACAATCGCCATGGCGATCAGCGCCGCCATAACGGGCAGAAAATAGATTGTCTTGTAGAGATCGCCGAAGCGTCTGGTCGAGTTGATCAGAAGCGCAGCACCGAGCCCGAGACCAACGGAGAGCGGAACCACGACAAAGACGTATCGGAAGGTGGCGCCGAACATCTTCTCATACGTCGATCGCGTGAAGATCTTTTCGTAATTGTCCAGGCCGACAAAGTCTGCTCCCGGATTCCCCAGGCTGTAGTTTGTGAAACTCAAGGCTCCTGCAATCGTGATGGGCATCAAAAGAATGACCACCATCAGGAACAGAGCCGGTCCGACAAACCACCAATGTGCTTTGGTACTTTGCATCAGGCCACCTCGGCGACGTCTTCGGCAAGCGACTTGCTGAGATCCAGACGCCGTCCGTCATTGCCGAATACCATCGCCTGTCCGCGCTCCCGGCTGACATGAACTGTCTGACCAAATGATACGGTCCGCCCTTCAACTGGTGAGACCCGGACAACAAGACGCTGCGACGCGTTCATGATGGCGACATGGAGATAAATGTCGGCGCCCAGATTTTCCTTGTGTACCACCTGACCCGAAAAGCTCTCGGAGACGTCCTTGTCACAAAGCGACAGATGCTCGGGACGCAATCCGATTCTTACCGGCCCGGCAGGGGCATCGGTTGTGACACGCGACAAAGGCAAATCGAGACAGCGTGCGTGACCTTCCTTGTCGACTGACCCGGGCAGAAGATTGATTCTCGGTGCACCAACAAACTCCGCGACACGCAGTTCCCTCGGATCATTGTAGATCTCGTCCGGTGCGCCGAGTTGAAGAATTTGCCCGTCCATCATGACAGCCATTCGGTCGGACATGGTCAACGCCTCGGCCTGGTCGTGCGTCACATAGATGAATGTCGTCTTCAGAGCCCTGTGCAGTTCGGCAAGTTCGGAACGCATATGGATCCGAAGAGAGGCATCCAGA